CAGCCTGTGTCACACTGCAGGACAGTCAGCAGGGCCACGGACACCCCCCGGCTGCTGTGCCACCACCGAGCAGGGCCTGGCCATCCCTTCATGAAAGACAGGACTTCAGCTGGATGCTCGGGCCCTGGAACCCCAAGTCTGGAAGGAGTGCCGTGACCACTGGCCCGGCCCCACACCATCCCTGCAGGTGGGGGCGCAGCTGCTGCCTCACTCCCCTGGGGCTGGGAGTTCTGCTCCCTGGACTCTGCAGACAGCGCTGCTCCTTGCCGCCTCCTCCCCAAGAGCCAGGCGTAGGGTTCAGCGGGAACCAGCCCTGGCTGTGTCCCCAGCAGGACAGGCCCTTGGGATGGCCCCATGTGCTGCGAGGCTGACACTGCGAGCAATGCTTCCACACCGTGGAATCCGTCGTCATTCAGAACCGTGATCAAAGTGGGCCGCTGTGTCGCCGCACCTGCTTCCAGCCCTGTGAACAAGGGGCCTGGGCTTCCAGGAGCTGAGGGAGACCTGGGGAGTCCCCACGTGGGAGCCCTGTGACAAGCCTCCCTGGATGGCCCCCGAGGCAAAGCGAGGCACGTGGTCCAGGGGTGCAGAGCTCAGGGTGCTCATTCCAGGCGGACAGAGCTGTTGTCCTGGGAAACACAGCGACGCGTTCCCTGGGGAAGAGCCCGACAGCAGCAAAGACATAAACCAAACATGCCACGGGGCACCCCCTCCGCGCCCACCCCAGAGCTAACCGCCAGCGGCAGTCCATGCTGGGCCGGCCTCGTGTAATCACAGCTGTGTGAGCTCACGGAGTTGGTCAGTGACGGTGCCCACTCCTTGCAGGAGAGAGTATGGAAGACGAACACGGAGGAGAAAACACCCACTCCCAGAGCAGCCGGGAGAGTCTTGGGCTGCTGCAGGGCCCAGTAGGACAAGGGGCCCAAGAGGGCGGGGGCCCAGCAGGACAGGGGGGGACAGCAGGAGGGGGCGAGGGCCCAGCAGAGGGTGGGGGCCCAGCAGGATGGGGGTCCCTGCAGGACGGGTGGGGGTGCCCAGCAGGGTGGGGAGCCCAGCAGGACGGGGAGCATTGCAGAGCGGGGCCGCCTGCCCTCCTGCTCTTTGCAGCAGCATCGCGCCCTCCTGGGGAAAGACAGCTCCTCAGGGACAGGCCAGCTGTGCAGGGAGCACTCGCGTGGCTGCACCGCAGGAGCATCTGGGCACCGCCTGCTGTCTCCCCCGGCCCCACCCGGGCCTCGTCACCGCGGAGCCCGATATGCACTGCAGTTGCCCTGAATCTTCCTGTCTGGGCCCATTCTTACGAGGCTTTGGCAGCAGGGCCCACATGTTTCTGCCCCTTACTTTCCACAATCTTGCCACACCCACTAAGGACACACTCCCAAAGTCCTGGTTCGAGACGGGTCCAAGCCTCTCTGGAGCTGGCCCCAAGCGGAAGTCCCCCTACTTAGAAACGGCCAATGGCTGCCCATGCCTTGGGCTGAGCTGGGTCCCGGGCTGCATTCCAGGTTGCAGGCCTCCGCTGGTGCTCTGTGCGCACGGACCTCGTGATCTGGGCGCTTTCGCCCATCTGCTCTGAGACCTGTAGGTGTCTGTCTCTCTGTCCCTGCACATCCCTTACAGACGGGCTTCCCGCCAGGCCATGTTCAGGGCTGACACACCCAGGTGGGACGTGGTCCTGGCACCCCAGGACACACCGGGCCTGCCCTCTCCAGAGGGAGTAGCTTAAACGGCAACTTCTGGGTACAAGGCTGTCTGCAGCCTTCATGGCTAACGTGGGTGCCCATCCAGGACCTGTCCTCCCAGTAGACCAAGCCCTGCTGTTGGAGACGAGGCTGTCTGCAAGAGCAGGGATGTGGGCTACGGCTCACACACTTGCACTGGAGGCAGCACTGGGGCTGCTGGGCACTGAGCTACTCAAGCGCTTGCATTTTGAAGAAGGGGCCCTGAAGTCCCTGCCCTAAGTTGGCTAAGAGCAAAATCCCCTCTGCCTTAGCGGTCAGCACAGGAGGTCGAGGAACTCGGGAAGACCCTCGCACAGCTGTGTGGGCTTACCAGCTTCTCCCACCAGCATCCCAGGATGAAGAGCCCACGGAGCAGCCATGCCCTGTTCTTTTCAATGTCACTTAGCCCTGCATGCGCAAGGGTGACTGTGACACTCAGGTTGTGACATGGCACCCAGAACTCACCAGCTCCGGCGGTGCCAGGGCACAGGCAGCCTCCTGGCTGTCACTGGGCAGACTCCAGGGTTTGTCCAGGCCTCTCCTAACTGTCTTCCTTTCTCATCTCTGCAGCTTCTGTGGGAGTCCGGTGGATGATCGGCGTGACAGAAATCGACAAAGGCTCTGCCTACGGCGACATCGACAACAAGCAGAAACAGAATGACTGACTCAGGGACATGTCGCCATCCCAAGGGAACCTTGGGGACTGGTGGCCTCGGCATATCCTTAGCAGGACACAGTGACGAGGGCCAAGCAAGCCCCTGCTGGAAGAGCAGCTGCAGCCTCTCCGGCCAGGGAGCTGGGTCTCCAGCCAGAAGGGGAGGAAGGCCTCGTCCATCTTTGCGCCGTGTGCTTTAGTGGGTTTTGGTTTTTCCTTTTCGTGTGAGTGTGAGAGCGGGTGTGTGCTGAGTGTGAGCCCTGTCCTATGATAATACAAAGAGTGTCTTAGGTGCAGGGAGGGCAGGGCTGGGAACGAGGGGGAAAGTGTCCCCTCTCATCCTTGGTGCTGAGTTTCTGTAACCCTAGATTGCCAGAGAGTGAAAAGTGCTTTAGACGAATGACTAAATTATGCCTCCAAAAAAATTAAAGCGTCGTCTGGGTCACCGTGTGAGTGCTTATGCAGACCGTGCCACCCCCTCCTGCCCTGCGGCGGCTTCTGCCCAGCCACAGCGTCTCCGCATCGAAGTCTAGAGCATGTGCCCAACTGGGCGTTCCGCGGTGACCCCGCTGTCCCTGTCGGCAGTGACAGCAGAGGGTAGGCCCCCAAACAAACGTGGGTCCTTTAAACCTTGCCCCTTCCTGGCTAGTAAAGCTGGTGTGCAGCTGCTAGGGAGCCAGCTGCTCCTTTGATGAGGGTCAGACCGGAGCAAACACCCCAGGTTCGAGGCCCCCCTGGGCTTCCCTGCTCTCTCTGGTCTGGAGGCACCCGTCTTACAGCTGCAGAGGGCTGCTCGCCAGCATGGTGGTCCACGCAGTAACAGTGGCAGGGACTCCTGCAGGCCGCTGTCAGTCAGCGGCCAAACGGGAGAGAGAATGTTTTGGAAGAAGTTCAATTCCGGCTCTTCCTCCAGGCTGAGACGCCAATGGCTCCTGGGGGACTTTATGAGCACGCAGGTTCAGTGGGCGTCTCCTCTTGCAAAGCCACTTGCTCCAAGGCAGACTGACTTCTCTGTGGTTCTGGAAGAAGGGAGGGACACCTCTCAAAGCTGGCCTAACAGTGCGTTAAAGGCACAGCCTCCCGAGGTGCGTTCTTAGGCGTTTGCTGGCGGAGTCCCTGCGTTCCAGGCCCGGCACAGGAACCACCAACCCAGGCATTAGGACAGGGCTCCAGTGTAGCGCTCTCTGCTCACGGGCCAATAATGTCTCAATACAAATGACCCCGAATCTGCAGAATGAAGAGAACACGCTCTGGCTTAATTGAGGGGAAGAGAATAGCAGAGAACACCAGGCCAGAGTTTACATTCGCTGGGACTCCTGAAGGCACAGGGCCAAGCCCGACACATCTGTCCACCCTGCATGACGCCCGAAGCAGGGACCCACAGGCAAACGGCAGGGATGACCGGCTCCCTTAGGCACGGGCCCTTGGAGCGCCCTAGGTGTATCTACTCCTCTGTCTGTCAGTGCCTCCTGGTGCACCTGGGTTCCAAGGCCACTCCTAGCTGGGGACTGAGCCGGGCAGTCACCGGGACCACCGGAAGTGTCCTTCGTGTCCGGAGCTGCGCGGTCCACCCAGGCTCTGCCGTGCGTTCGCTGTAAGGCTCAGGCCCGTTTCCGTCTGTGCGGCGGGCACAACCCCACCCCTCGGTGGTTCCCAGGTTGAGGGAGGTCAAGGCTCCCGAAGCACAGCACAAGCGTGAGGCGAGGCTGTCTCCAACGTGCTCAGGAGGCACCCCGCGGCCCCAAGACTGTGCCTCACCTCCCACCGTTCCTCCGTCCACACGGAGGTCACCCGAGTTCTACAACCACACATCTCCCCTTTCCCCTGGGACTTCAAAGGGGCCCGGAGATACTTTTCCCCTCAATTTGCTCTGGCACCAAACACGAAACACAAGCAGGCATCCCGAGGCCGTCCGGGTGCTGCTGGTGCGGGCTGGAGTGCGGGCATTCTCCTGGGAGAGGCCCAGGGATGCTGTGTTTTCATAGTCTTAGAACCCAGCGGAGAACGTGCCCTGCTGGGCAGAGCCTAGCACCTGTCCTGTTGGCCAGCCACTGGAGCCCTCCACGAAGTGTCACCATGCAGTTGGGGTCACAGCCTTCCTTCTGCCGACTTACCTTAACGACCAAGATAGCACCGGTCCCATGACAAGAATCTCACCACCAGGTCACGTGGGCGTCACGAGCTCTTCAGCAAAGAACCATTTGGCTCTCGAGGTCCTTTTCTGTGAATCCCGAAGCCATGGGGTGTACAGCATCTTTCTGTCCCGAGTGGAGCAGCACCCACTAAGCACTCCCCTTCCTGTCTTCCCACTGCCTCTGTGTCCCCCGAGGGCCTGCTCCGTAACTCCCTGGGCAGAGAGAGGCCAATTCATGTTGACACCTGGAGACAACGGGAGGGTCTCCAGACACAGGGTGAACCCTAGACCCGCCCACACTTGAAGCCAATGTGCTGCTCCCAGGAAACCAAGCCCCAGAAGAGACTGGCTTTCCTGAGACAGCGGCCACTCAGAAGGTGCTGTCTGGGCATGGGGAAGGTGGGCTGATGTGTGGCCGCTGAGGGAGCTGGCCTGGAGGAGGCAGAAGGCCCTGGGAGAGGCTCTTGCCCTGGGTAGTCTTTTAGTCCTATGACCCTGCTGTAACTCGAGTAGCTCTCAGTAAGTGCATGCAAAACCTGTAAACGCAGCTGATGTTTAAAGACTCTGAAACACTGGGGCCAGCAGGTGGCATAATGGTTAAGGTGCTGGACTGCCCCTTGGCTGACCGCATTTCGAGTCCTGGACCTGGTGGCTCGAAAATCCCTCCAGGAGTGTGTGTGTGCATGCCCCAAATCCCAGGAGAATGGAGAAAGGACCACAGTGTAGCCATCCCCCTTGGGATAAGTTCTCGCTTTCCCTTTCACTATCTCCCTGTCTCTGGTGAGTGCACATACCCCATGGCAAAAATCTTAAAAAAAAAAAAAAAAAAGAATTTAAAACATTAGCATCTGTCTGAACGAGCGGAACAGTACGGTAATTTAGATGAGAAGGGCAGTGATCGCCCATCCTCCAGCCGGAACTCGAAGCTGCTGTGCCACGCAGTAAGGCCGCCCTGGCTGCTCCCCGGCGGAGTGGACAGGGTGCGCTGGTCCCCACGCAGCACAGCCGGCTTTGCACAGCCGAGGGCTCATTTGCAACACAGGTCAAAGTGTGAAGAATGGCACCCGGTGAAGGTTCTCTCAGTACCTACACCCACTCGGAACGAGACAGCGGGTCCCGCCTTCTCTAGAGCAGCGGTGTGGATGGTTCACCTACCTCCAGGCTGAGGATGAAGGGAGCACATACTCCTCGGGGCTGGGAGGTCTCCAAAGGGCTGTGTGGACGCGAGATCAATGCCATCCCGCCTGCCAGCATCCGTAGGTAGGATGGTAGGCCCCTGTGTCCTTCCCAAGATGACACGTGAGCTCTGGCCAAATGTTACTGTCCCTGTTGTCACGCGACAAGCCGCCCACACCGTCCTGTGCGGTGTGCGCCTGGCCTCCGCCACGACTGGGTGTTCCAAGGCTTTAAGTGATGCCTCCTCAGGGGCCGTCAGAGTGCGTCCTGCTCACCGATGTGCTGGCATCCCCCAGCTCCAGACCTCGGTCTGTCACGCCTCTGTCCTCCATGCAAGGGACACCAGTGTGACAGCAGCTGCCTTGGGATTAGCCATCCTGGTGGCAGCCCCTGCTTGTTTTGGTAAATGCTCCTAATGGAAAGAGTTCTAAAGTCTGGACTGCGAGATGAGGCTGCCCCGCTGGGAAAGCGCTTCCAGGTCTGGGGAGCGGTTCTGACTGTCCGAAGGCCTCTGCCGGCCCTTGCCTCGTTGGTACGCACTCGGTAGAGTCCTAACCTCACACAGGCTGGGTCTGCCTCTGCTCAGGAATCACTCGGGCTTCAGGCTGGCTGCTTAACCTGCCCGCCGCATGCCTGCCCACCTCTGGGAGAGACGGTGGTGTGTGGAAGAAGTCATGTCTGTCAGGCAGATGGATTTCCTAAAAGTATCTTGAGATGTCACTGGAAACAGATTTTGGACAATTACATTTGGGCCAGATGGGTGAGGTTTCTATCCCATCCTGAAGGTACAGGTTAGACCAAAGGGTAAGACCGCAATCGCGCCAAGTGCCAGGCCCTCTGCCCTCTGAGATAAGGCCCTGCAAGGGAGGCAGTCCAGAACCCCCAGCCACACAGCCCCCAACGCAAGTGCCTGCCCCACAGGTGCATGCCATCTCTAACTCACCCCCTGCAGCCCGGCTTGGGTCTGAGTTTCCAGTTTCAAGCAAAGTTAAATGAAAAGCAAACCCTTCAGATGTAAGGCTCTGACTCCTGACGATGGCTCTCCGAGGGGCTGAGGTATGACTTCAGAGGAGAAAGGGCAGAGGGCTCGTACTGTCTCTCGCCTGGGACATTCGAAACCACTCCTAGCCTTTGTCACTGGTTGGCACAGAGTCTGTGAAATCCAGCTGTTCGAAACGGTATTTCGGTTAGAAGCACTGTCAGAAATTCCCCGACAGCTAGTGTGCACCTCCTCATGGAAGCATCCCCTCTGGCTCGGGGGCTCTGCTCTAAATGGTCCCTGAGGCCTCGCCCAAGTGGCCCATGGTGCAGACAGACCACGTGAGGACACTTGTCCAGACGCCCGCATGGCTGCATCCCAGCCTGCTGATCCCTTTCCTGACCTCACAGTGAGAAAACCGGAAGTCCCAGAGTGACCGGGGAAGGACGAGCCCCTCAGCCCTGCGTTCTCGGCCTCTGCAGCCATGCCCTAGCTCCGTATTAAGGTTTCGTCCATTAAAAAGCAGCCAGTAAGCAGCTACCGCGAGCTTCCTGCCATCTGGTAATGTCTCAGCCTCAGGCTGTGCTAGTGAGGCTCTTTACCGGGCACGCACGGGGCTCTGCCCACGCACTTCTACGCACTTCTCGCAGTCCCGTTCCACGCACTGGAGTGACGAGGCGGTTCTGCTGTGGCACCTACCTCTGTCCTGCGGAAGCTGAGCAGCGAGTGACATGAATACAGCCAGTGTGGCTGAATCACCACCCCGTGGGTTTCTAAAATGATGAAATGACCTAAGTGTCGCTTTCCCTTCTTAGGTTCCGCCGTGCTAGTGTGAGCCAAATCTTTGCTAAAGTCCCAGGAAACTCAGTCCCTGGGAAGTTTCAGGATGCCATTGTCGGCATCTTTGCAAATGAGAGGAAGGACAGAGGACGAAGTGGTACGGGGGCTCAGATGTGAGTGTGCTGAATGAGGCCCTGGGATGGCCTCGGAGCAGCCACGTGCACCACCCAGCACTCGCTGCACCTGGCATTGACGCACAGGTCCCCGCAGCCAGGGACAGGGACAGGTGCGGGAGACCGGTCGCTGCTCTCCTGCTGGCTTTGCTGACCGAAGAGGTAAAAGAGGAACTGCCGGCTCGGCTTCGGGTTGGGCTGCTCCGAGTCAGTGGGGAGTTCTTAACTGGCGGCCAGTGTCAACGCACCCAGGGTTCTAGAGCATCCCCTGAACCACTGAGGGATGGTCTTGGGAAGGAGGCAATTCAAAGATGGAAGATGCATGACTCTTACAGAAGCGACGCCCTGGAACAGGATACTAAGTGATTTCTGAGTACGTCAAAGGGTGCAGCGTTGGCCAGGAGAGCGAAGATGTCCTCGGTGTGGAGGAGGCAGACGGACCTAGCTTGCCTTGGCAAATCCAGTCAGAATCAGTGAACATGAACTTCGGGGAGGGACGGACGGCCTGGGCGGACGGCGCACTGACGGATGGCCGCTGGCTCATGTGGAACCGAGAGCGCATAAACAAACTGCAGTGTCACCCCAGGCCACTGCCTGTCACGCTGTGTGGCCATCTCTCCAATTCGTCATTGATGAAGTTAATAAAGGGTGTGGTGGAGACCACGAGAAGGCCCAGCTTAATGGACCGGATGAAATACAATGGCCAGGAAATTTAATTTGGGGGAAAAGCAGGTCTTTCTGACGCCTCGCACATCACCTTCAGCGAAGGTGGAGGCCCCAGGTTCATCAGTGTCCCATGCCCTCCGTCCCTCTGCCTGGGACCTCTGTGGCCTCCCCACATGTACTTCCCTCCTCTCGTTGCCAGCTTACTTCTACGTTTTCAGGTTAGCTATCTACCCCTCCAAGGAGGTGAGGGGTAACTCCTTAACATTCCCCTCGAGGCCAGCCCCCATCTACTTGTTCAAAACCCATCCCCCCAGTTCCCTCTTGCACATCCCATGAAGGCAGGCGTCGTGCCTGTCTGACCGCTTTAGCACTAGTACGGATCTACAGCACGGCTGCGGCATGCCTGCCATCAGCGGCACAGTGGCAGCAACAGCCAAGTTCTGCCACATTCCTTAAAAGAGTACTGACAAGGGGCCAGAGGGGTCACGGTTAAAGCCCTGGATTCCCACATGGCTGACCGCAATTCAAGCCCTAAACCTGGGGGGCTTGAAAATCATGCTGGGCACGCGTGCATGAGTCCCTAAAATCCCAAGAGGAGACAAGAGGAGGGACCGTGGCATGGCCATCCCCCCGGGTGATTTCTCACTTTCCCTCTCTGTCTAGCTCTGAAATGGGGCCTGGAGAAGCCAACACGCCTTCAGAGTTAGTGTTAAAGAAGGAACAGGGGAGGTGGGGACGAAGGACGTGGGGAGAAGGACAGCAGCGATACGGAAGCCCGTGGTGGGGCAGTCGGTACAGGGTATGAATTGGTGACACAGTGAAGTTGATCCAGCTCAAAATGAATGTCTGACAACAATTAAACTGATTCTACAACAAAAAGGGATTACCTAGGAAGATGAATGAAGAACACTGAAGATACAGCATAAGCAGAGCCTCTTGGACCCGAGTGACACAATCACCCTGTCACTTGCGGAGAGAGGCGGTGGTTAGAAACCCTGTGGGGCTGTGCCCTCAGATGGGAACGATTGTGTGGACTAGCAACTGCCTAACGATGTGCCAAAGAACTGTGCTTCCAAATCGACAGTAACTGGCTCAAAAAGAGAAGCATCGCCTCAACCAAATGGCAGAGTGTTGGAGCATGGGCCCGGCGGGCCCCGTGAAGGCCTGTGGCCCTCTGTCTGTTCAGGGGAGGCCAGGGATAAACAGTTCAAGCAGCATGAGTCAGGGAGTTTCTCTCACAGAGTTAAAAGTGATTGCAGCTGCAACCCTAGTAACAGGGGAGCTAGCTGTGCTGCCACACACTTCCTCTCAGTAGGGAAAACGGTACGCCTCAAAGGGTGACTCACCTCCAACAGACAGAAATGTGTTCTTGCACGGCAAGCTTACTCTCTTCTTGGTCATTCTGGACCTCTGTACCAAGCCTTTTAAAACCTTCAGAATCTGCAGGTGAAAAGGAGCCTTCAGGGCCTCCCTGGTTGGGAATCCTTGGGAGATGCCTCGATTCCCAGGTGTCGCTGGCCAGCATGTCTCTAAGGCCCTGCTCTGCAGCTCACTTCAACGTCCTGTACGAGCCCACGGGGAAGCCAGTCTGGGATCTAAAGCCGCCGCACCTGATAGGGACTGTCTGTGGCTGGGATTTTCATGGTAGTATATAAAGCGTATGAAAGCGGCGGTGTGACACAGCGAGCTTCCCGAGAGGGTTCCTTTTTTCCCCCTTTTATTTCATGAGCAAGACAGAAAAATATCAACCTATGATAGAGTCTTGGTCACACTACGGTCCCCCCTGAGCCTATCAGCCAGCCAGGATCACAGGCCTGCCCGCCTGCAGACACTGCGACTTGCGACTTGCCACGTGACTCTAGCATCACACAGCAGCGCGACCTCCTGCACCACGGGGACTGGGCCCAGAGGGGACTTCTGGAAGATAATACTCTGTGAAGCTCTACGAGGCTAAGAAGGAAATTCTGTTTCCTACTTTTGTCTAACCCTCTAGAGCAAGGGGTGGCAAATTTTGGCCCACGGCGAATGCGTCTTGCACATAAGATTTGACTGGCACACAGTCATGCCTGTTCTTCACCCCATCCGTGGCTACTTCATGCCGTGGCAGCAGGGCATTGTTGTTGTGACCAAGATACGTACCCTCTGGCCTTTGACAGCGAAATCTGCCAGCCCTACTCCAAAGAACATGTCAGCCAAGGAGGCGGCTCTTTAAGAAGAAAAATAATCTACCACTTTTTTATATTACTACATTTTTTTAAATTGAGAAGCCATCTTTAAAATACATTCAAGATATATTAGCTTCTCTTTGTAAAGCAAAATAGAAAAAGAAAATACCTTTTATATTCTTATTGCCACCATTTTTGTCTTTGAGACAGTCTATCTTAAAAGGCAAAAAAAAAAAAAAAGATGAATATATTAAACTCAAAGCCTGGAGAAGGAATGAAACAAAGTTTGGTATGGAAACCAGAAAAACAATAGAAAAAATTAATGAAACCAGAAACTGAATCTTTGAAAAGGTCAACGAAATTTATAAGCCTTTCATCAAGAAAAAGAGAAAAAAAAAAATCCAAGTTACTAAAACCAAGAATTAAAAAAAAAAGCAGTCATCATTTCTAGTTCTACAGAAAGTAACTATTAGCGAATACCAAGATCAGCAAATCAGACAACTGAGCTAAAATGAACAAACTCTTCAAAAGACCTAATTACTGAGTGTGACCAAAGGCAACATCTGAGGAGTTACAAGACGCTGGGTCAGTAACTTAAAAATCTTCCCACGAAGGGAAACCCAGCCCTCACTGATTCCACTAGTGAATTTTACTAAGTTTAAAGAATCTTGCTATGGGAACCAGCAGTTAGCATAATGGCTATGTTGCTGAACTCCCACGTAGTCGACCGCGGTTCGCGTCCTGGACCCGGTGGCTTAAAACTCACACTGGGCGCGTGTGCGTGCGTGCCCAAGATCCCGGGAGGAGAATGGAGGAGAAGGGATTGCGGCGTGACCATCCCCTCTGGGGGGTGATTTCTCACTTTCTGTCTCTATGTTTCTCTCTGTCTGTCTGGCGAGCGCACGCACCCTAAAGCGAAAATCTCTCAAAAAAAAAAGAAAAAAAAAGAATCTCGCTAGATGGTATCAACCTTTTCATCTCTGTAAGAAAACAGAGGAAGAGAAAAATTTCCCCACTCACTGTATGAGACTAGAATTATTCTAATACCGGAGCCAGACAAAGATGCCACAAGACTGAAGACTGCAGTGCAATATCCCTCATGTAATATATAACAGAGACACAAGTCCTCGTCAAAATATGCAAATGGATGCAGCAATGCATAAAAAGAAATATACGCGATGATCAGCTAGGACTTATCAAAGGAGTAACAAGGTCAGTTTAACATCGAAAAATCAATTAATATGGGGCCAGCAGGTGGGGTGGAGCTGGACTCCCACAAGGCTGACTGTGGTCCAAAGCCCAGACCTGGTTACTTGCTTTCTTCCTTTCTCTCTCTCTCTCTCCCTCTTTCTGTTTCTTTCTGGTAAGCACACATGCCCTTTAGCAAACTTAAAATAATAATGATAGTAAATCATATTAACAATTTAAAAAGTTAATATAATATGCTATATTAACAGGATAAAGGACAAAAACCATATGATCATCTGAAAAGATGACGAAAGGGCATTCAACAAGACCTAATACCCATTCATGAGAACAATTCTCAGCATCCCGAGAGTAGCAGGCAGCATTCTCAAACCGAGAAAAGGCATTAATGAAAATCCTACAGCACTATACCTCGTAGTGAAAGAGTGGATCATTTCCACCCCAGATCAAAACATAGCAAGGAAACGGTATGCCACATCTTGTGTTGGCCATTAAAAGACAACAGAACTGAGATTTCCTAAAATAAACCATTTATTGAAAAAAGAACCTTTTTCTTATATTTCATTAATCAGCATTTTGCATAACAAACCTGCAGCTTGCCAACAACAAAAAGGTAAGGTTTTCACAGTCAGTGCACTCAACAAACAGGAGATTAAAAACAAGGTCTGGGACGCCTGATAACACTACAATTTCTTTTCAACCTAGAAGGTCAAAAACACTACACTGATGTCACGGTTCTCAGTCACGCAAGAACAGGGGAGACAGAGGCGATGGTCCGTGTACAGTAGTAATGGCACTTAACATGCAGCTTCTTTAACCTCGTGGACACCATCACTGGGGCCCTGTGCCACATCGACAAACGGGAGCAGCAGGAGAAGTGACACGTGTCACCTGTGCAGTCTTCGGTCTCGGAAGGTTAAGAAGGCTTACACCGCTTCTCAGCACAGTCTTTCTGTAAATATTACATACAGTAGTGATCTAAGGGATTCCCAAGTCCGTACACTACCAGGCCACAGACTGCGTAGCTTCATTCTTCATCTGTGCAAACCTGTGAAGAAGCAGGAGAGGGCTGAGCCTTGCTGATGGAGACATGCGCGTGTGCACATGCTTGGCTGGAGGCTCAAGGTCATCTCCTCTGCCGACACGTGATGAATGGTGGCTGTGCTTAGTCACCGCTCTAAGGCTCTGCCTCAAAACTGACTGCAGGGAGTTTGCGAAATGGGTATGTATACATTATACTATGCCATACTTTATACTACACCAGGTAGTATATTTTATACTGTCCTATACCATGCTGTACACTACACTGTACCATACTTTACTCTATGCTGAATACTAAGCTATACCATTGTATGCTATACTACATCATATACTATGCTATACCATACTATATACCACACTGTATACTATACTATACACTATACTGTATACCATATTGTATACTATACTATATACCATACCATACTTTATACTATGCTGAATACTCTACTATACCATGCTGTATACTATCCTATACCATTGTATGCTATACTGTATCATACACTATGCTATACCATACTATATACCACACTGTATACTATACTATACACTATACTGTATACCATATTGTATACTATACTATATACCATACCATACTTTATACTATGCTGAATACTCTACTATACATGCTGTATACTATCCTATACCATTGTATGCTATACTGTATCATACACTATGCTATACCATACTATATACCACACTGTATACTATACTATACACTATACTGTACTGTATACCATATTGTATACTATATACTATACCATACCATACTTTATACTATGCTGAATACTCTACTATACCATGCTGTATACTATCCTATACCATTGTATGCTATACTGTATCATACACTATGCTATACCATACTATATACCACACTGTATACTATACTATACACTATACTGTATACCATATTGTATACTATACTATATACTATACTATACCATACTTTATACTATGCTGAATACTATCCTATACCATGTTGTATACTATCCTATACCATTATATGTTATACTATACCATATACTATGCTATACCACACTATATACCACTGTATACTATACTATATACTATACTGTATACCATATTGTATACTATATTATATGCTATACTGTATGCCATACTTTATACTGTGTACTATACTTCATGTTGTGTACTACACTATACTACACTGTATGCTATACTATACCATATGCTATGCTATACCATACTATATACCATACTGTATACTATACTATTTACTATACTGTATACCATATTGTATATTATACTATATACTATACTGTATACCATACTTTATACTATACTGTATACCATACTTTATACTGTGTACTATACTTCATGCTGTGTACTACACTATACTACACTGTATGCTATACTATACCATATGCTATATTGCACCATACTTTACACTACACTATATACTATACTTCATACTGTATACTACACTATACTATACTGTATGCTACACAATACCATATACTATGCTATACCATACTATATACCATACTGTATACTATACTATTTACTATACTGTATACCATGTTGTATATTATACTATATACTATACTGTATATCATACTTTATACTGTGTACTATACTTCATGCTGTGTACTACACTATACTACACTGTATGCTATACTATACCATATACTATGTAGCACCATACTTTACACTATACTGTGTACTATACTTCATGCTGTGTACTACACTATACTACACTGTATGCTATACTATACCATATACTATGCTATACCATACTATATACCATACTGTATACTATTTACTATACTGTATACCATATTGTATACTATACTATATACTATACTGTATACCATACTTTATACTATGCTGTATACCATACTTTATACTGTATACTATACTTCATACTGTGTACGCTATACTACACTGTATGCTATACTATATCATATACTATGCTATACCATACTATATAGCACACTGTATACTATACTATATACTATATACCATATTCTATACTATACTATATACCATACTTTATACTGTATACTCTACTTCATACTGTGTACTACACTATACTACACTGTATGCTATACTATACCAAACACTATACTATATCATACTTTATACTATAGTGTATACTATACCATACTGTATACTATATTGTATACTATACTACACTTTATACAATGCACTTTGGGGACCAGCAGTTAGTGTAATGGCTATGTCACTGGACTCCCAAGTAGTCGACCACAGTTCACGTCCCGGACCCGGTGGCTTAAAATTCACGCCAGGCACGTGTGCGTGTGTGCCCAAGATCCTGAGAGGAGAATGGAGGAGAAGGGATTGCGGTGTGGCCATCCCCCCGGGGGGTGAGTTCTCGCTTTCTGTCTCTCTGTCTCTCTCTGTCTGTCTGGCGAGCGCACGCGCCCTATAGCAAAAACCTCTCCAGAAAAAAAAAAAAATATATATATATATACAATGTACTTTGTAACCGAGAAGACAGCAAAGCTCTGGGGGGTTATTTCTCGCTTTCTTTCTCTGTGTCTCTCTCTGTCTGTCTGGCCAGCATGCGCGCCCTATAGCAAAAACCCCTCCAGAAAAAAAAAAAAATATATATATATATACAATGTACTTTGTAACCGAGAAGACAGCATAGCTCCTCACGAGTCCCTGACACCTCTGGCACGAGTCTAGTTGTCCGCTCCTAAATCCCCCTCCCTGAGGACCTTGCTGCTCCGCTCTGTACTCGCCTTGCCCGAGCTCCTCTGTAGGGCCCTGTGGCACTCTCTGTGCTGGGGCTGCATCCTCACCCACTTCCCTCCACCTCTTCTTACCGCAACATTTCTACCTCCCAGACCTGGACCCTTACTCAATTCTCACTTGAGGTCGGCCCCAGAAAGCCGATACCCATCTGAAATTCCCATGTGGAGGTTTCAACCTCATCTACCAAAGCAGTGACCACCACTTCCCTGACAACCCCACCAGCCGCCTTCTCCATGCTGTGGAGAAACACCTGGAACCTGTGACACAGCCCAGAAAGCAGGAAGCTGCCTGGTCTTCTCCACCCCTCACCTTTCACAGCCACCATTCCTGGGTCACAGCCACTCTACCAGTTGACTACCGCTAACAGCTCACCCAGTCACCCACACCCAACCTTTAACTAGATCAGCAACTTCATGAGTAGCCTTTGGACTTGCGAGCGATCTTTCTAAAACGTGACTCGATCACGTTGTGTTTATAGTAAAACCAGACTCCTTCATGTTGCTCCACGTCCCTGCCGGCCCTGCCATCTTCCACAGCTGGGGCCCCATCAGTACCTGCCAACACAGCAGCTCCGACTGCTCGACCTTTGAGGGTGAGCCTCTCTGTGCCTCTTCATTTAGTCTCCATGCCCTGCACAGTCCCGACCTGACCAAACCCTCTCAAGCTGCTCGGGCACCTCACTCAAGAGAAAATAACGAGTAATGACCTGCCTGGATTACACGCCCTTCCGCAGTAACCCTACAATACCGCACTCCCAGCACTACCACAGCTCTGGACGTACGTCGTGAGGTGAGATCATTCCGTCTCTGCTCCCCAGGAGACGTCACACTCTCAGGAATGGATGCTACACCTCTGTCCAGTCCCACTTAAATCCCATTCCACTGTCTAGAGTGCACCTCGAACAGACCACCGAGCAGACCAAGAAGGGTACTGACAACACTTTCCAAAGAAAAACACAGTCAGAAACCTCTGACAGAGCAACAGTCAGTCCCTTTGCATTTCAGACGTGGGTCCCGTATTTTAAGCTTCCCGATTTCCTTCAGTGCCAGAGGTAAGACAACTCAAACTCTGAAACGTGAAGATTGCCACGATCTGCCAAACCTTGACAAACGGATGGTCGAGGAGCTGGCTGGCTGTCCACCGCATCTTTGGGTCACTTTCAAGGCAGTGAGAGAGGAAGTCCTTTCCTTCCGGGCTTAATCTTTCAGGGATTGGTGGCTTATGTCCCATTCCCACTTTATACATAATCTGAAAGTTGTGTTCATACTCATGCCAAGGCCTCTAAAAATACAGAAAAAAGTTAGATTTTAATGTTTCATGGCCATAAATTTAGGATTAAAATGCTCCGTCTCTTTCTAGGCATCACAAAATTAAATATATTAATTTGAAAACTTTACTTAAAGGGCCAGAGAATCATTATTTTGGGCTTCCAGGTTATAAGGTCCCTGTCACAAATACTCGATTCTCCCCAAGTAGCACAGCAGCTGTTGTGGTTTAGAGAATGGTTTGTCCCCCATAGGTTCGTATTTTGGGCTTTGGTCCCAGTGTCAAGGCTGGGAGGTGGCTGAGACCATTAACTGTTGAGGTCTAGGTTGGTGACTGGCATCACTCTCATAAATGGATTAACAATGTCTCACAAACCCTGTGAGTGCCAGCTTTCGTAAGGAAAGATCAGTCGTTCCAGAAACAGGTTTTCATAAAAGGAAGGTGGCTGTCTGTAGGTCTCTCTCTGCATGCACCCATCACCTCTTCTTCTGGCGACCGAGTTGTGATGCTGTGCCATGCTTTTGGACTTCCCAGAACCGTGAGTCAAATAAACCTCTATTCTTTAGAAATCTGCCAGACTCAGGTATTTCTATAAACAACACAATAAAGGACTAAGACAGCACGTATAAACAAGATGTAAATTAAATGAATGGGTGTGACTGCGTTACTTATAAAAAGAGGTGGCTGGATTCCCAGACGGCTGGTTACACGGTTCAAGTCCCAGACCCAGAAGGCTGAAAAATGATAGGTTCATGTGCATGTGTGCCCAAAGTCCCAGGAGAAGGAAGGAGAAGGGACTGCAGCATGTTCAGCCCCCCGGAAGATATTTTCCCTCCTTCTCTCCTGCTCTGTTTCTTTCTGGCAAGCACACAGGCCCTACACCAAATTTAAAATAAATTAATGGAAAATAAAATATAAAAATTAAAATTATTCATAAAAGTTCTCTCTTTGGCTTATATCTTTTAAGAGAGAATTTTGCCATAGGGCATGTATGCTCACCAGAGACACCACGTGAGAGAAGGAAAGTGAAAGATCACCCCCTAGGGGGACTGGCTACGTCACAAGCTTCTCTTCCCCATGGGATTTTGGGCATGTGCACACACACGCCCGGCGTGAGTTTCAAGCTGCCAGGTCTGATGCTCAAGCCGCTGTCAGCCATGTGGGAGTCTAGTAGTTAATCACAGCTCCATGTGCTGGCCCCTCTCTGGCTTTTATCTTCTAAGTATTTATTCCTAGCTGCCATTTGTCTTAACTGTATTGTATCACTTAATAGGTCCCTTTTTTACCTCTAACCAAATTCTTGGAACCATGCCCACAGTACTTATAATGAAGCATAAAACTGCCCTGTCAATGCGCAGTGCCCACTGAAGTTCCTCCTGCACCGGTGGATCCTCCTCACCTTGCCAGTCACCATCTCAATGACGACACAGCCCAGGCTCCAGATGTCAGCTGCACGCCCGTGGCCTTCTCCTTTAGCGCGAGTGATGACCTCAGGTGCCATGTATGCTTTAAAAGTCACAGACACCGTGATAGTAAGGGGTTATAAACACAGCACCATGTAGTAAAATAAACAAGCAAAAATATAATATTGTATAGTGTGCTAGGTTATGCAAAAGGAAATACTGAAAACTTGGCAGTGGCCATTTCAAATCAACCTGTCGAATGGACCTTTTAGAGGCTGAATTCTTTTATTTATTTTTCATAGTTGCAGAGAGAAAGAGAAATCACTCCCCAGAGGAGATGACCACACTGCAATCCCTCCTACATTCTCATCTTGAGATCTGGGGCATCCGTGTGCACATGCACGGCATGCTTTTCTTTTCATTTTTTTAGAGGTTTAGGCCTTAGGTTCGTGCACTTGCTGGATAGAGAGGGTCAGAGACAGTGAGAAGAAAAGTGAGAAATCACCCCCTGGGGAGATGGCCATGTCACTGTCCCTTCTCCACACGCATGCACATGTGCCCAGTGTGATTTTCAAGCCACTGGGTCCAGGATTCAAACTGTGGTCAGCCATGTGGGAGTCCAACAACATAACTGCTATGCCATTTGCTGGCCTTGTACAGCATGTTTTTCAAACTGCCAGGTTTGGGACTTGAATGTGTAGTCAGTCATGTGGGATCCAGCTGCCTTAACCACCATGCCACCTACTATTATTGAATTCTCTTTTATAATTTTGAATATGCAATTTTTCAAATTCTGTTTACAGTGAAAAAAGAATTTTTTTTTTTTGGAGAGGTTTTTGCTATAGGGCGCGTGCGCTCGCCAGACAGAGAGAGACAGAGAGACAAAAAGCGAGAAATCCCCCCCCAGGGGGGATGGTCACGCTGCAATCCCTTCTCCTCCATTCTCCTCTCGGGATCTTGGGCACGCACGCACATGCGCCGGACGTGAGTTTAAGCCACTGGGTCCAGGACGCAAGCCGTAGTCGACTACGTGGGAGTCCAGCGACATAGCCATTACGCTAACTGCTGGTTCCCGAAAAAAGAAAGTTTAACCTGCAAAGGGAGATGCAAAACTTTTTGATACTAAATGATCAAAATAATTAACATTTACCTAAACTTCATTCTGACTCTAATAGTTTTAATAAAATGAATGCAAATAGAAAAACAGTTTTCTGGGAAGGAAAAGAGAACTGCCTTCCTTTCCTCCGTGGACTTTGAAGAAGCACTTCATTTAACCAGTCTGCCAATTGCTCAGGAGGGCGAGGGAGCTGTCCTTTTCAGGACTGGACACCTCAGCCCACTGATGAAGCAGGAGAAGGCACAGCCCAGGTGCTGGCACACTGGTGAGTCAGCGTGCCGACTCGCCGTCACCCTGGCCCTACCTGCTGTCCCCAGCGTGCTGTTCACCTCGCCAGGCATGGTCTGTGCGTTGTTTTTAAGCTTTACTGAGCATCCGAAATCTCCCAGTTTAATCAGTCCAGACGAGGTAAGGAAGATATTGGCACCTAACAAGAAACAGTCAAGAAACAGACTCTGAAACAATGTAAGTTCACATGGTGATCTTAACTACCAGGAACTATTCACAAACAGAATAACGTAAAAGTCCCAAAACTTTAATTACAATGTGCAATTACAGAACTATTTGTGAGCTTTATTCAAAAATGTTAATTACACAAACCTAAGAAATTTTAACATCAGTGAAGACAACTTTTACCAACAAATTCTGAACTGAAATACATGCATACAGTTTAACATTAAGAACCCAAATTGGACCAGCAGATGGTGCGATGGTTATGTTGGACTCCTACACGGCCGACCACGGTTTTGAGCCCCGGACTTGGTGGCTTGAAACTCACACTGGGTGCATGTGTGTGCGTGCTTAAGATCCTAAGAGGAGAATAGAGGAGACAGGATTGTAGTGTGACCATCCCCCTGTGTGTGTGGGGGTGATTTCTCACTTTCCATCTCTCTGGAGACCACACATGCCCTGTAAGCAAAAATCTCTTTTAACAACAACAAAAAAAAAGCAACAAACAAACAAACCCCAAAAACATAAAGAAGTTGTATATAAAATACAAATGCTGGTGGTGCCCTCCCTGAAAACTAGAGCTGTATGCAACAAGCAGGTCTCACCCACTGGAAGTGACACGGAGACAAGGACTGGCACACAGAGACCATGACAGCTGTGGCTGAGGCCACCTTTGGATTTTAGACTCTGGCAGGACAACAATTTTCTACAGTTTTCAAATATTTCTATTAGCAACACATAAGCCTAACTTGTACTCCAGTTAAGAATCTGAGGCTACTGCTCATCTTTCAAGGCATCTTGGCCTCTTGCTACAGGGCACAAGGTACTATCGCTCCAACTGCCCCCACTGGTATCCTACGATACCTCCTTCAAAAGCAACGCAGAGCCACTAGCACTGAACGAATAGCCCTGCAACGAGCTGGCATTTAACAGTTAATCCTCAAAGTGCGAGGACTCCCCACGCTAATGTCCCCATGACGGACCACACAGGGTAACTACATATTCTGGAACTATTTCCCATCTGTGCATTCCTGGCCAGGCTGAACAATAAAGATAAAGCATTTGCAAAGGATACCAGTGAGCTGCCTTGGTTCAAAGACTCTGAGGGACTCTCTTTCTGCCCTGGATACATGAAGACACCACTCTGCATCAGTGGATGGAGCGGAGCATGAGTAGACGACAGAGCGAATGGAAACGGGCAACACCACAGCCTAATAAAGAGTCAATGTAAGCCACTGCCCAGAACGACCCAGACGGAGAGTAATGTGGCAGACGGGCAGGCAGCCAGCAAGACGCATGTGTGGGTGACTCGGGGCGAGCCGCAGCACAGAGCATGGGCATGTCTCACTCCCAGGTCAACACAGACTCTGGTGTGATCAGGAAGAGCCCCCAGATGGGGTCAGGTCCTCCTGAGAAGTCAGGCCGGATCCTGAGGGAATGCGTGTGTTTAACCTCAGACTATGCAACCAAAGGGAACTCCTCAGTCTAGGGTCAGTCAGAGTCAAAAATACTTCTCTGCTGTAATTATCCATGAGACTCCCAAACAGAGGTCAGAGCTGGTGTGGCTACGGCGAATGCCACAGGAACAGCTCTGAGACAGAAGCTAGACGGCCACTCCCCTCATGCCAGAAGAGCAAAGCACTTTGAATCAACAGACACGGTTAGACAGTCTCATTTAGAGGTTGGCGGAAATGAGCCCCTGTGGTCTCCAAACGCAGGGCTGCACACTGACTCAGTGCCCCCATCTGCAGGGATGTGTTCTAAGACCCCAGTGGGCCTCACACTACAGAAGGTGTCAAAATTTATACATGAGAAGACTGTAAAAAGACTGTGGGAAAACAGAATTAAAGTATGAGTTTACTTTGGCTCAAACAAATTCTAAATCCACCCACCATATTTTCCTAAGTTACCCATGAACTTTTCAAGATGCCGTATGTGTCTTCTATACATATATACCTATGATAAGGTTTAATTTATAACTTAGGCAAACTATGAGATTAGCAACAATAACCAGTAGTAAAACAGAATTACAATAACATAGCGTCCTAATTTTATAGATAATGGTTTCTTTCTCTCTCTCTCTGTTTTTTTTGGAGAGGATTTTGCATGTGCTCATCAGAAAGACAGAGAGAAAGAAAGCGAGAAATCACCCCCAAGGGGGATGGCCACGCCGCAATCCCTTCTCCATTCTCCTCTCAGGATCCTGAGTACACATGCACACGTGCTCGGCATGAGTTTAAGCCACTGGGTCGGGGACTCGAACCACAGTCGAGTACATGGGAGGTTCTAAGACCCCAGTGGGCCTCACACTACAGAAGGTGTCAAAATTTATACATGAGAAGACTGTAAAAAGACTGTGGGAAAACAGAATTAAAGTATGAGTTTACTTTGGCTCAAACAAATTCTAAATCCACCCACCATATTTTCCTAAGTTACCCATGAACTTTTCAAGATGCCGTATGTGTCTTCTATACATATATACCTATGATAAGGTTTAATTTATAACTTAGGCAAACTATGAGATTAGCAACAATAACCAGTAGTAAAACAGAATTACAATAACATAGCGTCCTAATTTTATAGATAATGGTTTCTTTCTCTCTCTCTCTGTTTTTTTTGGAGAGGATTTTGCATGTGCTCATCAGAAAGACAGAGAGAAAGAAAGCGAGAAATCACCCCCAAGGGGGATGGCCACGCCGCAATCCCTTCTCCATTCTCCTCTCAGGATCCTGAGTACACATGCACACGTGCTCGGCATGAGTTTAAGCCACTGGGTCGGGGACTCGAACCACAGTCGAGTACATGGGAGTCCAGTGACATAGCCATTATACCATCTGTGGCTTCCGGATGTGGTTTCTTTCTCAGAGAATTTTAGTGCACTGTACCGCGGGCCACTGAAACTGTACAAAGTAAAACCACAGATGGGGGGATGACTATCCCAATTGCTTTCATTGCCAATGTCTAGTTAAGTACACGGGATATGCTGATCTCATGACAGTGACAAACTCTATTTCAGGGAAGCAGATTTCTCTAGAAGCTTTCCTGGACTGAAGCACAGAATGGACTTCCCAGCTTAGGGACAGACACAGGGTCTGCACTGCTCCTTAGCCCAGGCCTTCTGGAAGCACAGTCAAGGTCCAGGTATTTCTAGCTAGAGAAATGCTCTGCGGGAAGCTCCTACTGTGCGCATGGCTTACCTTTAATGTCGCGGTGCACTATACCGTGCTCATGCAGGACGTTGATGGCCACGGTGATCTGCTTGGAGTACAGCCTGATGACGTGCTCCTGGAGCCCCAGCCGTGACACCTCCTCCAGCGTGCCCTCGTCGCAGTACTCCATGAAGATGTACATTTCCTCCTGGAGGGACAAAGCGCAGCCCGGCATTTGTGGTTTTCCTAACGTGCCCATCAGGAGAAAAGCCTTGAAAACTCCACAGGTCACGCCCCGGAGGACGCCTCTTTCTAAGAGTGCACTATGCTTCCATCCTGACTACTGAGGGTGTCTTCAAGCTGTCATCTCTAACTCTTCTGCCAAGTGGGGCCTGCCTCCTGTCTGGAATTGTTCAACTCGGGGAAAGAATGTCTCCTCCCGGTCATGGGATCGAGTTCCTTAATCCTCCAAAATTAAGTCTGCTATAGAATCTCAGACAGGGACCAACAGCGTGGTCCCTATAAATATAGTATTAAGTACTGAAACACATCCTGTTCGAACACGATTTGTGAAAACATTAAGAACGACTGGTACTCTACGTCCCCCGGAAGCTCATGCTCTGTACCAAAACGTTCCAAGTTATCTTCATTCCCTCAATGAGTTTATTTCTAAAAGTGAGGAGGGAAATAGATTTCAGCTTTCAGATGGTTTCTTAATTACGTATGAAAGAAAACTCAGTGTTATGTAACAGTATCCTCAACAGTGGTTCAGCCAAAACAAAAGAGGGGGGTCACAAGACGCTGCGTCAGGGCCTTTGGAAGAACCTTCTGACTGGCAGGACGGTTTCAGTGCTTTCTGACGTCGGGTGAACGGCTACAGTCTACAACTTACATGTCAGGAAGGACTCCTCTAGTCAGAGAGAAGGCAGAAATGATGTAACGCATGGAGATTTCCTGAGAATTAGGCAAAGTTACTGTGCTCTGAAATGAGAAGACCTGTGATGTAGGACAGGACTCCATGTGACACCCTCACTGATTGCTCACGCAGGACAGTGGGATTAAAGTCAGCTTACTCTGTGAAGTTCCACCCCAAAATACCGAACCAGATTGGGGTGTTTGATGCCTTCGAATATCTTCAACTCGTCTGCAGTTTCCTTGATAGTTTTATGGTCGTTAGGTTGAAACCGAATCTGTAAAGGAAAATTGCTGATTACTGCTAACTTCGTGGCAGAGCAGAAACGGGACTGCTTTCAATGGGGAGGGCGGCGAGGCTGCCTCCTGACTTTCCCATCACCCTGACCCACAGCGATGGTTAGCACTTCCTGGCGTGACTTCCAGAATTTTCTTTCTTTCTGGTTCCAGGTGAATTGAAAACGCCTGCTTTTGAATATCTGGTGAGATGAAGGCTAATAGGATCATTGTCCCAACTGCAAACTGAAATACCGAGAATATCAGACACTTAATAAGCGCTCTGATGTTTAGGTTCTGCGTTAGATAAAAAGACAGGATAGGATTCCAACTTTACAAGTTTAAAACCCTGGGGTCAAATGGCGGTGCAGAAGTAAACACAGTGCTCCTAAAGGCTAACCTACCCACACAAGGAGGTCCCAGGTTCGCGTCAGAGACCTCTGTGAGTATACAGGGCATATGTGTGGCCCGGGACCTGGGTCTTGCAGGGCTAGGAGTGGCCTACAGCATCAGGACCTCCTGGGGATGCCAGCTGGCTACCTCTCCTCTCTCTTTTTCTCTCATTCAAGGAATAAATAAATAAACTTAAAACAAAATAGTGTATAACTTCTTTAGACTTCACAGGCAAGTGACATTAAGCTTCAATGCCTGGCTTATCTCGCTCGGCACAGGGCCCTCCAGATTCATCTCTGTGTCACAGAAGTGATTATGGTTGGGGCCAGCAGATGGCATACTTGTTAGGTCGCTGGACTCCCGCATGGCTGACCACAGTTCATGTCTCAGTCTCGTTGGCTTAAAACTCATGCTGGGTGCGTGCACATGCGTGCCCAAGATCCCAGCAGAAGAATGGAGAAGAAGGAACTGCAATGTGGCCATCCCCCCCACCAGAGGGGGGGTGTGATTTCTCATTTTACTTCTCACTGTCTCTGTCGTTCTCTCCAGTGAGAACATGCACCCTATGGCAAAAAATCTAAAAAAGAAAGTGACAAAAACATGCCAGGTGCATGTATACCCAAGATCCTGCAGGAGATGGCAAAGAAGACTGTAGCTTGGCCACCACCCACAGGGTGCTTTTTCATTTCCCCTCTCCCTCTTCCCTGTCTCTATCTCTCATAAGCACATGTGCCCTACTGCTAACAAGCAAGCAAATAAATGCATAAACTAGAGAAAGGAGAAGAAAAAAATAGTTTATAACGAAGTTGAAGCAAGCACTAAAGAGGACAAGTAAGCACCGGGCCGCACTAAGAAAACAGCCAACCAGCGTAAGGAGTGGCCCATCCCATGGCTGAGGAGCAGGATGACCAGCATGTCCCCTGCCTGCACCCCACTCCTCCTCCACCTCCTGTCACACCAGACACTCCCCAAATGGCAACAGTTTTGCTTTCCCACTGGGCCTGTCTGTGGGCCTCCCTTGCTCTCCTCCTTTCCTTCCAGCGGGTAGAAATGCTACTCATCTCTCGAGCTCATCACAGCCCTCCTCTGCACCTTCTCGGAGCGTCCCTCCGGCTCCCTGTGTGGCACGTCTTGTAACTGGGCTGTGTTAGGATTACTCGCCTTCCTGGCCTCCCCATCCTCCCTGGAACCGCAAACAGCTGCACTTTCCATGGACGCTACCTTAGTGCGCGGCCTGGCTGGCCCCGATGGGCTAAACGCTAAAAAGCAGGCCTCGGGCCGAGAGGACGCACTGTGCAGAGCACCGACGCCACACCCGGGCCTGTCCTCGCCGACTCTATCACCCAGAGGTGTTGAGCAGAGCAGCCCGCAGTGAGCCGGAGGACTCACCTCCTTCATAGCCATCAGCTCCCCGGTGTCGACGCTGATGCAGGTGTAGACCTTCCCGTACTGCCCCTCTCCTGGAACGATACAAAGCGGCTGTTGTAGTCACTGCGGGGAGTCTACACGTTCACATTTACGGCCATACTGTCAGTTACCCTGACACACTCACACACCTACGCCCGCGTCTACCACGCAGGCTACTCTGGGCCCAGGGAGCTTGGAAAGCGGCCTAGAAGCAAAATCCTAAGCGATGCTGTCAGTACGTCTGCTCTGTAAACTTCTTCAACGGAGAGTGAGGAGGCACGAGGGCGCATGCGAGGCAGTTCCGGGCACACATCTGCACCCTCACGCCGTTGGAGGGGCCTGAGCTGGGGCGGAGGCATGGTTTCTAGGGAGTGGCCCGCATCTAGCCTCGTGCTGGCTGGCCTAGAGTGTGAGGAAGCAGGGAGCTCCTGACACACCTCCGACATCAGGCTGAGGGGCATGCGGCTGACGAGGCTGACGTCGGCATTACTAAAACGGGTAAGGTACTCGAATGCTCAGGGCTTTTGCCTAGTCGGTTGTTCTCTAAAGACCCTCCAGTATCCTGAGGCCAGAGCCCTTCCTGGGCCAGCTGTGTCTGCCTCTTCGGCCAAAACGCTTGGCAGCTCAACGCGCTGGCAGGGAGAGGGGTCGGAGACATTGCCAGGCTCCATCCCTCTTGCCACCCACCACTACCTATTTTACAAGAAACGGTTCCACCTGGAAGTCAGTTCACTGGGCAGTTTAGAAAAGACCACAGCCCTGTCCCTGTATGTATCCAGGCTCTCTTCAAATAAGATTCTTGTGGGAATAAGAAAATAGAACAAGCAGGGAAAACTTCAGTAGCTCTCCACTGGCGACTCCTGGAGTTACCAGACAAAACTATATATATATTTTTTTTTTTAGAGATTTTCACTACAGGGCATGTGCGCTCGCCAGACAGAGAGAGACAGAGAGACAGAAAGCAAGAAATCACCCCCCAGGGGGGGGTGGTCACGCCGCAATCCCTTCTCCTCCATTCTCCTCTCGGGATCTTGGGCACGCATGCACACGCGCCCAGCGTGAGTTTTAAGCCACCAGGTCCGGGACACGAACCGCGGTTGACTACATGGGAGTCCAGCGACATAGCCATTACGCTAACTGCAGGTTCCCACCAGACAAAACTATTTTAATGAGCACTTTAACGATCTCTTTCTAAAATATCATCTTGTATTGCTCCTAGAACATGTTTTATAAACAAGAGAAACAGAGTCCTCTGCAAAAAGATAAGATACATATTTGCCATTTTTATAAGAAAAAAGGACCACCTATATACGCTTAACCTCCGGACATGGCACTACTGTGGTTTCTAGCAGTGCCAGCGGAGGAGCCTCAGGCCCGATCCTTGGTCTCCTTACCGATTTTGTTTCCTCTTTGCCACTTGAAGGTCACCTTCCTCAAGCCAACGTGCATAACATTATCATAGGATTTAGGGGTGTCACAAACTTGACCAATGATATTCTTTCTCCTCATTTCTCGATACCGCTTTTCTTCAAATAATCGGACCGACTTCTGGATGGCTTCTATGGGTCCTTGTTTAGAAGCGGTATCTGCAGAGAGAACCCACACGCTCATTAGTCCCCATCACTGTCAATTTCTAGCAAACAACAGAAGCAGCGAGACACTCATCAACGCTCCACTCTGGCCAGCCTTACCATTACCTGCTTGGTACACAGCACGGAGTCCACACCCTCCAAAGCTACAGCCCACACAGTACTCAGAAAACCATAGGCTATTAATACTTGGACAAAAACGATTTCCTCTCCCGGGAACCAGCAGTTAGCGTAATGGCTATGTCGCTGGACTCCCACGTAGTCGACCGCGGTTCGTGTCCCGGACCCGGTGGCTTAAAACTCACGCCGGGCGCGTGTGCGTGCGTGCCCAAGATCCCGAGAGGAGAATGGAGGAGAAGGGATTGCGGTGTGACCATCCCCCCTGGGGGGTGATTTCTCGCTTTCTGTCTCTATGTCTCTCTCTGTCTGTCTGGCGAGCGCACGCACCCTACAGTGAAAATCTCTAAAAAAAAAAAAAAAAACGATTTCCTCTCCCAAGACCTCTGGTTAGCCCGCTGCACGCTCTAGCCTGCCCCGAGCTTCTCTTCTCTTGGGCCCTGGTTTGCCAGAATTAGCTTACCAAATCACAAAATCTTATCGTGTGACAAACCCACCCCTTCATACGGGAGAACCTGAACGCAGTTTATCCTTCTGGGTCTCCTTTTCTTCTCCTCACATCCCAGACCAGCCAAGCAGGAGGCCTGTCACGGAAGACGCTGAACCTTTCTGTCCCCCTCACTCTGTACACACTCCCCCTGCCTGCAGCATCTTCTCAGCACAGTCCCTGGTGAGCAAATCTGACCCGGTGCAGCTGAAAGGCCATGCCTCATCTAGGACGCCCTCTCTGCCAAGAAGGGAATGCAGTTCTTTCTCCCTTTTCTAGGAAGAGTACGGAGTACGGGTTTTAGAATCAGAATTTAGAATCAGAATGTCAAACTGCAGCCTCACCATTCTCTAGGTGTCTGACAACAGGCCAGGTAATCTGACATCTTTATACAATAAATACCTGGCCTGTGAACTGGAAACCACCTAACTCACAGGGCTCAGGGGTTGTTAATGAGACGGTGCACATACAAGTGTGGCCCAATGTCTAAAACACAAGTGCACTACGAATATGAGCTGCTCTTCCTTATTTCCCATGAAGCGTGATGCTTCCACTTCTCCCACTGGTGTCATGGCTAACAACACGAAGTACCTTCCATACATACAGCACTGATTACGTTCGCTAACAGTTGACAGCTCGTTTTCGGGTCACGACGCGTACCTGGAAAACCAGAGTTTTCTGCATCTCTATGACAGCCCTTCTCTTACCGTAGCCTGACTGGCTATCTCAGTGCCCAAACTTTCTGGCCAGCAAAGAGATCCTAAAGACCAGGATGACAGCCAGGTTAATGCGAGCAAACAGACTCCCCCACCACAGTGTTCTGGCCGTGTTTCTTACGACCACCGTTTCTTTGGTGCATGTGCCCTGAGGGGTTCCCTTTCTCTCACTACAGCACGTGGGAAGTCTACTCGGCACTGGGCACGACAGCAACAGCCGAGAGGCCGTGGACCTCACACACCAGTGTTAAACATTTCTGGGAAAGGTTTGCTTTGTTTTGTTTTGTCTTAAACAGTAAGACTGTCTTAGGATTTTCTGGTCTATAATACGTCAATGTGAGCTGAACCTCTCCCAAGAGGAACACAATTGCGAGTGTTCCCAAGTCTATCTCACCACGATGTATTTGTTTTCAAAGCACAGCAAAGACCTGGTATCGGGGGAATTGCTAGCTACGTGTCAGCCACTGATGAGATCATCTTCCTGTCACCAGGCTCAACCTAGGAAATCTCTCCCTCCCAAACCCTTGACATAAGGTCTGTCACCAGGCCTTTCTAGCTGCCGGTCGCTTTTTAAAAACCCACTTCGGTCCCATCTATTACTGTTACTGAGTTACCCCCTGGTGTGGACCTCACCTCCCCACCTCCTCCCAGCGCAAGCTAGCAGGCTACTCAAGGGCCCTGCTTATCTCCACCTCCACCCCAAACATATCAGGGCCTCTTGGGGCTGCCCACCCCTTCTGGGTAAGGCCTTGGTTACATAACCAGGCACGAAAGACTGCCCATGACCTGACCCCACCTTGCGCTCCGTCTCACTTGCATGTACACCCACAACAGCCAGGACAGCCGCACTGGTCTGTGCTGTAGTCACTGGGCCTCCCAGTGTGTGAACGCCTGGACTTCTTGGCGTCCTGCAGTCTGTCTTCCTCCCAGGCCCAGCACAGGCTCCGCCCTCTGTGGGTGATGCCCAGACTGTCTGAGCCTGGAGACACGCATCTCCAGGGGTGGTACATGGGGAGAGCACGGACTCGGGACTGAGGAGGACTCCTGGTCTCAGTGTGCCATTCACCATTTATCACCTGGCTCCACCTGCATGGCCTCTCAGAAACTGTCTTGTCATTTATGAGGAGCAAGCAAGCTCTACACTGCCTATTGTTCACGACTGTGGTGAAAACATACAAGGGCATTCTGCAGCTCATCCAGGGCTAGCCAGTCACTTTATTTATTCTTTGAATATTTTTTAAGAACTATTTAATTCTGGGACCAGAAGTTAGTGTAATGGCTATGTCACTGGATTCCCATGTAGTTGACTGTGGTTCGAGTCCTGGACCCGGCGGCTTAAACTCATGCTGGGAGTATGTGCGTGCATGCCCAAGATCCCGAGAGAAGAATGGAGAAGTGACTGTGGCGTGGTCATTGCCCCTGGGGGGTGATTTCTCACTTTCTGTCTCTCTGTCTCCCTCTGTCTTTCTGGCAAGTACACATGCCCTACATAAAAAACCTCTCAAAAAAAAGAACTATTTCATTTTATTTATTATTATTTTTAAAATTTTCCTATAGGGCAAATGTGCTAATGAGAGAAAGAGAGAGAGGCAAAGTGAGAAAGCAAGCCACCAGGTCTGGGACTCGAATCACAGTCAGCCACGAGGGAGACCAGTGCCTTAACCACCATATTACCTGCTGGTCCCTATTCTTTCAATACCGATTCATGACTTATTTCATTAGATCTCTCCTTCAACTTCTCAGCATAATAGCTATTTCACATTATATCCCTACCTTGCACAAAGAATTATGCTAAGCTGCTTTAAGACTATGGATATGGGGCTAGCACGTGGTGTGGTGGTAAAGGCACTGGATCCGACATGGCATACTCTGCAGTTTGAGTCCCAGACCAGGCATTCTGAAAAACATGCTGGGCACAAGTGTGTGCATGCCTAAACTCCCAAGAGGAGAATGGAGAAGGGACTGCAGTGTGGCCATTCCCCTTAGGGGATGAGTTCTCGCTCTCTCTCTTTCTCTCTCTCTCTGAGCAGTGTACATGCCCTATGGAAAAAAAAAGTCTTTAAAAATCAAGATGAAGAAAACACACTGCTGATCAAAAGGACCTCCTCATTTGTTGTAAGCAGCAGGAAATGTTCACGCACAGCACGTATGGCAAAGTGGCATCGCAGGTATAAAGGGGATCACCGGGCACACAAGGTGAAGGTCCAGCAGTCACGAGCTAAAGCCAGTTCCGACGAGAATGCTGCTCGCCGTGTGCCTGACAGCTCAGAGTCCAGCGTTCTCTCTTACCTTTGGTCTGGCTGATAAGAGTCCGAAGTTCCCAACTTCTCCGCGCCGACCCGCCTGAGTCACCTCTCGGATATGCTGGCTCTACGGAGAGTATGTTTTCATACAAATTAAGATTTATGACATAAATAGACTTATGTAAGAGCAAGACTGCCGGCGCCAGCACGTAGCATGGTGGTTAAGGCACTACATCCTCACGTGGTCGAAAACAGTTCGAGTCCTGAACCTGATGGCTTAAACATCACACCAGGCGCATCTGTGTGTGTGTCCAGAATCCCAAGTGGAGAATGAAGGGACTGAAGCGTGGCCATCTTCCCTGGGGGCGATCTCTCACTTTCCCTCTCTCTCTATCAGGCAAGAGCATGCACCCCATGGCAAAAACCTTAACAAAATGAAAATAAGGAGCAAGTCGCAGTGATGAATGGCGAGGGTTACGCCAGCCTTTCCTTCTGGTGACTCATTTCTAACGTGTTCAACGTGGGTCTGAGAAGCGTCTCCACAGTCGGTTCCAGAAAACAGCACCAAACTGACAGCTTATTGGGGCTGGGAGGCTTTCTCTCCATTTGACTTTCCACGGCCAACAGATGTTAGAATGGGGACATGAACTGGCTTCCTTGGACCCCACTCGGGAGCTTTCCCTGCTACAAGAGGAGGCTCCTGGGCAGACTCCCAAGGGCAACACTGTCATGTCAGGAATGGGCCAGCCAGTGGTATGGGGGTTAAGGGCTGGATCCACACGGACAAGTGTGTGGTTCGAGTCCTAGCCCTAGCCCTAGCAGCCTGAGAGACATGCAGGGCGTGTGTGTGTGTGTGTGTGTGTGTGTGCACGCGAGCATGCGCACATGCGTGCACGCCGAAGATCCTGACAGGAGGGAGAGATGCAGAAGGGACTGAGGTGTGACCATCCCCCAGCTTTCCCACTCCCCCACCCTGTCTGTCTCTAGTGAGGCATGTGCTCACGGGCATTTTTTTTTTTTAAATGTCAGGAATAGTGTATTTTCTTTATAGACCAAGTCTCATGCTGCCCAGACTAACCTTCAACTCCCAGTCCTGCTTCCGCCTCACAAGCAGCTGGGAGTACAACACATAGCGTCCTGCCCAACTAAGCAGTGATCTTTCTAAGAGCAACAAAAGTAGACCTAGAAACCAAGTGCAACTTAAAAGGCGTCTGTAGAAGCCAGCGTGTCCTGCGCTAGCTCCACTCTGTCCCTCCCCTCCGATCCGTTTTAGAGGCATGAACAACAGAAACCGAGGGCCCGGGAGCTGTGATCAGAACCTCGCGAAAGCAGTTTGAAAGGCCTTAAAACACTCACCGTCTCGCTCCTCTGTGGGGCTTGAGTGACGACTCAGGGACCTAAACTGCAACTCCGCAGCTATGGAAGCCAACCGATCATTTTCAGGCACGCTGGAACCCCTGTTTCAATGTGTTTAACAATTGAGCTGTTAATTTGACAGAATTCTAAAGATCTGTGAGAGTCTTCCACAGCAGTGATGCTTGCGGGGCAGTTTGGCTAAGGACACTGGCAATGTCTGGAGACACCTCTATCCCGCAGGGAGGGTGCGGCCGGCGTCCAGGAGGCCAGGACAATGGGTAGGGCAGCCCCGACCCAGGAATGGACGGCCTAGTGAGCAGTGCTGCCACCAACAGCCCTCTGCATCTGCCAGCTCTGCCAGGGGAGTCCTGGCATCTGAAAGGAGAGCACCATTCCTACCTTCCAGACTGGGGACACCAGACCGGAGCGCCGGCCGGCACGATACCTTGCTTTATACTTAAAACAACAGAAATGAAAACGAGACACTGCTTTTTTGTTTTAAGTGTGGCTGACATACATGGAAAGTTCCATGATTTAAGTCCAATATCGATACAAAATATATTTAGCCAAGTCTAGCTAGTATTTCAAGTTACCATCAAATTATTTATATATATATATATATATGTATTATATATGTTCTTAATTCTAAAGCTTTTAAATCTCTTTAATAATGGTAAGAAGATGGAAGGGAACAACCTAGTGATTTCTTAAGCAATAGCCAAGCAGAAGTGCAAACGAGCAGGAAATATAATGTTAGCGAATAAAGTTAAACAGGCGCTTTCCAGAATAGTGTTCAGCAACCAGAATAAACCCAGAGTATAAACAAGAACTAAATACGGGCCAAGCTAAAATTGTGATTCAAGTAGTCAAAGAACCAAAAACGAATACAGCATTAGCTGATTAAGAAGGTACTAGCATGTACTCCTCAGTGAGTGGATAATGAGGTATGGCAGCATTTATGCTCTTTTCTACGAGTCACTGGATAGGCTGAAAGCAACGTGGTCTACGGCACAGACGTCTATTCACAATTATGGAAGGTGCAGTAGTTTTTGCATTTCCCTAAACCCTCAAATCTAGTACGGCACTTGTTAAGTCTGAAGAAAGGGGAACATTTCTACTTCTGTGCTTTCATCCCATCTTGGCGACGTGTGTTGGAATAGCCACTGATGCTGAAGTAGAGAAACATATTCCATTCCCATTCCTGGGCAGTGCCCAAGGCCGGGACCATGAAGAAGGCACTTAACGTCTCTGGTTTCCTAACGTCTCTCCGGTGAAATGAGTTGCTCATGTCCTTCAGAGGTGTGTGCAAAGGTAAAAAAAACACACCATCAAATGAAGTGGTGCCCTGGTGAATAAAGGGTGGGGTATGGAAGCTGGGAGCAAGCTGTAGGCTTTGCCAATTTTGGTGGTGTAACAACCAGCTTGCAGAATTCCCCCAAAATTAGTCATGAGCTCCTGCGAGTGAGCAGGGGCCCATCCCAGCAAGCACACCTCTGCCAAGATGCTTTGATAAACACAGGCAAGATCATTAAAGCCCAGAGTAATTATGTCCTAGGTCAAACAAAATCAATTTTAAATACGTACTGAGTCCTCTGAGGCAAGTGACATTGAAGTACGGTTAGTGTATCTCTAAGAGACTGTGTGCTGTGGCATCCCCGCTGCTCTGAAGGCCATCAGTGTCACCCCGCCACCCTACAGCATGTGGCCTTGACCAACCCACAAGTGTGCCGGGCCTAGGGCTCGTGGTACACAATATGTACCAGGAGCAGTGGGCCTCCCCAGCCGGGTCCACCGTCCAGGTGGAGTCTCCTGTCCACCCCAACTCATCCCCACATGGCTCTGCTCTTCCCTAACTACTGTCACATGCACTGTCGCAAAGCAAGGCAAACTGTTCCCATTTAAGGCCTTCAATATGGCACACTAGGATGAGTTAAAGTTCCCAACCACCGAGGACTATCCAAGTGTGCACAAGTTTAAGACAAATATTAAGGAAATATCATCATAATGTGCGGGAAAAACTGCTTTCAAAACCATAGGACTAAACTGCATGAATAGGCCAGGTACAGGTATTAAATTAACTCTTACACTAAACTACCCTTAAGGTATCACACTACCAACCTATATTGGATTGTCAGAAAAGTCATAAGGCCTTTTTTGCATAGAAAAACACAGAAAAGACATGTCATGACTTTTCCAGTAACCCAGCACACGCCTTAGACCACAGCCCACTGACCGTACTCCGCGTTCTCTGCAGTACCCCTGTGTGAGAGTGGGCATGGCAGGCCTGGAGCCAGCACACGGTCTGGGTCACGTCATTGTCAACCACGACTGCGCACCAGGCTGAGGCACTTCCCCCACTGGGACTTGCGCTTCTGACAAAGGTGGGTTCAGAGCTCCCACAGGGATGTGAAAGTACATGTGAAAACGTTCGCCATGAGATGTTCTGCATGTAAAAGGCGTAAAAGGGAACTTGTTCAATGCCATTATTTTTTTAGTTGACTGCTCATAGCTATAAAATATCCTGACATTTTTTAGGGTGGACATTTATTACTAAATATTAGGAATATTAATTATTTTAATAAGTGAGAACACTGGAAATGTTTGTAGAAATGTTAGATGTTATTTAAGTACAAGTCTAAAGCCATTTTAGTCTTTTTTAAACTCTAAAGCATAAGTCATGTTCCTGTTGACTATCAGACTAGTGGTTTCTTGGAAGTTGGACCCTGAGCACTGAGTCCACCGCAACGTCCTCTTTTTTCTTTTTATCAGATCACCATCCAATCAAAATAGTTCGGTACTTGTGATACGCCTTAACCGAAGGCGAGACTACGGACAATGTCCCTTCTACTCACAAGCAGGGGTGGAATTAAGGGAGACTAGAAATCTTTAGACCACTGAGCACTTGAGAGCTTGATGAAACCCTCTGCCAGAAAGTAACTGAATGAGAAAAACTACCACCGCCGTGCTCATATGAACTAATGCAAGGCTGAAACTGTCTGGAGATTGCCCTAGGTCCGATGGTGCCGTTCTCACATAATGATCTGTAATAACACATAAATCCCACAGACTCATTTTCCTACTGTATAAACCACTTTTAATCACCAATTAACTAAAATTAGGAAATTTGGTTAGAAAACTAATCCTCCTTAAAAAAAAAAAAAATCGCCTAGCACTATTTAACTAGACACCATCCCTGAGTATCTTCGACTGTGCAGGAAGGCTGCCAGACAACACTGCCGCAGCTCACCGTAGGCCAGGCTCCCCCAAGCTCTCTCCACAGGGTTCTTCCTGGAAGGACCTATGGTCACTGTGGCTGATATGAGCCCCAGAGAATACTTCCATCAGGCAAATGAACTACTGGTGCTGGGGCCAGAGCCTCGGGCGTCACAGCCCACAGGAGCCTCTGAGCGGCATGCACACATCACAGGAAAGAAGCCTGGTGACCCCACGACATGTCCTAAAGCGAGGAACTGTGGAAGTGTGCGTGAGGGTGAAGAAGGCGTGGCACTGGCGGGGTGAGACTACCTGGTATCATGGGCACTGCTGATGGGTTTGGGCGGCGCAGAGTCACCGCCAGAGGGGCTGGGGAGACCAGCAGCGGCAGCAGCAGTGGCAGTGGCGGGGCTGCCGTGGCTCCGCGCATCCGAAGGCACGCTCCGAGTGCTAAGACGAGAAGAAAAGCTTCAGGAACACAGAGGGCAAAGGGACAGACTCGCGGATATTTGCAATTCAGAGTAATGTATGGCACGGAATTAAAATACTTAGAAACAAAACACAGACTGCTCCTTCAGACTGATGTCTAAGTGTGAAAAAGACAAAAATTCAATTTCGAAGTTTTTAAAAATAACTGTGGTCTGTACCTACGAACACTGCATAATCATCACTTTTTATTATACAGGGGCAAGAAGATGCTCTCTACACCTCAAGATGCAGAAATGCCACCACATTCAAGGTCATTACCATGAACTCACTTTGGTGTGTAAATTGCTTATAATTACGTATGCACATGAAAATCAAGACTGACAAGGTCATTCCAATTCTTTTCCACTTTCAAAGTAGTGCTTAGTATTGAGTTTGACACATTCACTAAGCAATGCACAGTCAAATTTGTTCTCCTAAGGTGATTTTTCAAAGAAAGAAAAGGAAGGAATTACTCCAAAGCCAGAAAGCATTTAGCAGCTCGAGGTTATAAATTAGCTGAGGAACTGGGCTATCTTGACAGGCGCAAGTCCATTTACGTTTGTATAACTTTTTCTCTTGCAACTAAAGTACTGCAGTATGTCTTCAAGATAACAAAATAAGAGCTTTTCAACAAGTATGAAAAGAACACAGGAAACGCTCAGCTCTCAGAGCAAGCACCAGGAGTTTCCAAAGTAGCAGCATGCGAGTCAGAGCAGATTCGAAAGCACGCTGGCCAGGTGGACACGGAATACCTGAATCCCTCTGGAGTTGGGATGATTAGATGTGGGTTAGGAGGGTCACTGTGGCATCGAGGAACCTTCACAGGTCGGGGACTGTTCCGATGAATAGCTGCCAGTGAAAACGGCAACAAACAAAACTTATTAAGGTGGTCAGTAGAAAACTGTCACACCAGTTAATTAAATCTCAGAGGAATACCACTTCATTTTGCCAATGACCAAAACAGAACCACCTATTGAAAAAAATCACACTGCATGTACAAATACTTTTAAAATAGCACTTCTAAAAGTTCATAAAGCCATATTATATATTCAAACTTTTCTCCACCAAAAGCATCCTTTAAATCCTGAAGTGAAATATTATATATGCTAAACAAATGATGTAGTCCATTTCACAGAAAGATAAAAACATGACTTGAGGGAACCAGCAGTTGGCGTAATGGCTGTGTCGCTGGACTCCCACGTGGTCGACCGCGGTTCGTGTCCCGGACCCGGTGGCTTGGAACTCACGCCGGGCACGTGTGCGTGTGTGCCCAGGATCCCGGGAGGAGAATGGAGGAGAAGGGATTGCGGCGTGACCATCCCCCCTGGGAGGTGATTTCTCGCTTTCTGTCTCTGAGTCTCTCTCTGTCTGTCTGGCGAGCGCACGCGCCCTACAGTGAAGATGTCTCCAAAAAAAAAAAAAAAAAACGTGACTTGTTCTCTCTTAAAAAGGAAAGAGTTCTTTATATTATCTATATTATATTGTCTACACATACGTATATTATATTCTTTATATTACCTAGATGCACCTATATTATATCCTCTATATTATCTACATGTCAGGCAGACTCTGCTCAGAGGGGACACATCAGCAGGTCCTGTTGGGGGCACGATCATTTTCCTGATATGTAGAGTCTGCTCTAAACCCTTTAACCAAACAAGGTGGAGAGGGCACAACAAAAATGAGGTGAATTGGGAACCAGCAGTTAGCGTAATGGCTATGTCGCTGGACTCCCATGTAGTCGACCGCGGTTCGCGTCCTGGACCCGGTGGCTTAAAACTCACGCCGGGCACGTGTGCGTGCGTGCCCAAGATCCCGAGAGGAGAATGGAGGAGAAGGGATTGCGGTGTGACCATCACCGCGGTTCGTGTCCCGGACCCGGTGGCTTGGAACTCACGCCGGGCACGTGTGCGTGTGTGCCCAGGATCCCGGGAGGAGAATGGAGGAGAAGGGATTGCGGCGTGACCATCCCCCCTGGGAGGTGATTTCTCGCTTTCTGTCTCTGAGTCTCTCTCTGTCTGTCTGGCGAGCGCACGCGCCCTACAGTGAAGATGTCTCCAAAAAAAAAAAAAAAAACGTGACTTGACTTCTCTCTTAAAAAGGAAAGAGTTCTTTATATTATCTATATTATATTGTCTACACATACGTATATTATATTCTTTATATTACCTAGATGCACCTATATTATATCCTCTATATTATCTACATGTCAGGCAGACTCTGCTCAGAGGGGACACATCAGCAGGTCCTGTTGGGGGCACGATCATTTTCCTGATATGTAGAGTCTGCTCTAAACCCTTTAACCAAACAAGGTGGAGAGGGCACAACAAAAATGAGGTGAATTGGGAACCAGCAGTTAGCGTAATGGCTATGTCGCTGGACTCCCATGTAGTCGACCGCGGTTCGCGTCCTGGACCCGGTGGCTTAAAACTCACGCCGGGCACGTGTGCGTGCGTGCCCAAGATCCCGAGAGGAGAATGGAGGAGAAGGGATTGCGGTGTGACCATCCTCCCTGGGGGGGTGATTTCTCGCTTTCTGTCTCTATGTCTCTCTCTGTCTGTCTGGCGAGCGCATGCGCCCTACAGTGAAAATCTCTCCAAAAAAAAAAAATATTCTGACGTAAGGTAAGCATGCCTAAATTTTAAAGTGAAATTTTCAAACTAGATACAATTTTAAATGAAAACGTAAAGCTAGAGCTCTTAGTGATTACAGACACACTTACAATTCTACTTTCTCAATAACTAGAGGCAAGTAACAATGGACATGCGTTCTGTTTTGTTGCTTTCTTCCTAACGTGTTTTTCTATAGCTTCTACTTTTAACTATTTAGTTTTATCCCTCACTGTCAGATTTTCCTTTATTTGTTAATAACTTTGATCTACATATGTTTCAGCCTCAACAGAAATCTTCTTTCTTGATGATTATATAGATGAAATACCAAAAAATACAGAAATCTGAAATTCCCTTGCAAAACAAAATTCAAGCAATTCTTAACAAAAGATTTCAGGCAATCTGTGTCTCTGGTTCATTATCTAAACTATTTCAATGCCAAAGGGAAAAAATTCAATTAACAGAGGTATAAAGAAAACAAAACTAAATTAAACTAAACAACAATAATCAGGTGAGGCTAATGTCTTTAATTCAGTTAAGACCTGAGAACTACTGAGTTAAAAATTACTGTAGAATTTCCCCATAAAGATATAAAGAGTCTGTTTTTAAAAATGTACACATACAAGAATATTCTTCATACATGAAACAAAGTTTTTTTTTTTTGGAGAGGTTTTTGCTTTAGGGCACGGGCACTCATCAGAAAGAGAGAAAGGGAACCAGCAGTTGGTGCAATGGCTATGTCGCTGGACTCCCACGGAGTTGACCGCGGTTTGCGTCCCGGACCCGGTGGCTTAAAACTCACGCCGGGCGCGTGTGCGTGCGTGTCCAAGATCCCGAGAGGAGAATGGAGGAGAAGGGATTACAGCGTGACCATCCCCCCGGGGGGTGATTTCTCGCTTTCTGTCTCTATGTCTCTGTCTGTCTGTCTGGCAAGCACACGCGCCCTATAGTGAAAATCTCTCCAAAAAAAAAAGAAAGACCGACAGAGAGACAGAAAGCAAGAAATCACCCCTCAGAGAGGATGGCCACTCTGCAATCCCTTCTCCTCCATTTTCCTCTCAGGATCTTGGGGATGCACGCACACACGTCTGGTGTGAGTTTAAGCCACCAGGTCCGGGACTCGAACCACCGTCAACTACATAGGAGTCCAGAGACATAGCTATTACACCAACTGCTGGTCCCTAGCATTTATTTTTAAGAGTACATATACTTAATGTTGCAAAACTGTGATGATATTTTACTGTAAAGAAAATCCAAATGGCCAATAAATGCAAATGACATTTGGACAAATGTCACCAGTGGTGGACATTTATTATAGAGATGCCTGTCATGGCCAAAACAAACAAAAGCCTATGGGAAAAAATGGCAGAAAGATCAACAATACATTCCTGATGGCTACAGCGTGGACCCTAAAGAGAGTGAACTGGGTCCACAAGTATACTGCTGATATAAAGGAATCTCTCTACACTGGTCAGGTAAGAAAAACAATAGGTTAATATCCAGTGTGTTCCAAATTTTATGAACAATACTCCACTTCTAACTAACTGTGATGACATGAGCATGGAGAAAGGTATGACAGGATATGTTTGGGCAACTATGACTATGCAGAAAATCTGAAAAGTTGTATACCAGATTGTCATTAGTTTGCTAACAGCAGAGGGAGAGGAATAAAGTAAGCAACAATGAGGATAAAAATGACAGCTAATGTACTCATTTCCATTCATTTCTCTTGTAAGAAAAGAAAAGAAAACCAAGTGATGCCCTCTGGTATGTGTAGAACCCTCGTGTTCACTAACTGTCCTCACCTTCTCAATCCCGGCTGGCAGCCAGTTCTACGCATGAGAAGGGGCTCACTGCGCGAGAGCCGTGCAGGTCACCTCCTTCAGGCAAACTGACCCTGAGCTCAGCTCACCATCCCACGATGGCTGAGCGGACCAAGGAGAACTGAGCCCTAAGGCAGCACTATTAATTACCTGTGCCACCGGCACCTGGGAGCGACGGCCATGATGAAAGACTCAAATGCTACCCCGGATTGCCTTTGGGTAATGGGGGTATCGGTATTTCCTCCTGCGTTCTTTAATTTTTCTCTGCATTTAAAATTTTCCTAAAAGTGTATCTTCTTTTTTTCATGCTGTCATTTTCTATAATTAAAATTATTTCTTATGTAATGAAGTATTTTAAAGAAGTACTTTTTACTGAACTACTGATCACACGTTTTCTTAAATACTTTGATATATGGAAATCAGTCTATAACAATATGCTTAAGCAAAAGCTTGGTTAGAATACAGCATGCTTTATATAAAATGTACAGTTTTACAAATAATTAGTTTCATTTTCAGAACCGTTTGGGGAGCAAAAAGGGGAAAAAAGGGCATTTTAAAGATGAAGAAACCAATGAGTAAAACTTGGACTCTATAATCTGTAGCCAGCACATACTGTTTAAGAAATACAGAAGGTATTCAATAAATTTACAACTTATGAGTAAATTTTGTGTACTTTAAGCTGTAAACGTTTCTAAGTTATCATGTTCGGGTGTCTACTGTATGTAAGTACAGTTTTATTTACAGACTATCTTAAGCATGACACAGCTTTGATACATACTTTGTTCTGAAAGTTTCAGCATACACTGTAAAACTGTATATTAGCTACAACTGAAAACTATAATTAATGTATATTATAACATAATTTGATTTTTTAAGAGTAAAACTGAATTGAATTTACTACAGTTAGAGGAGAAACGGGTACTCAGGAAAACAGTGGGGCAAACGAATGCTCTTCTCCTTCAAAAGGTTAGGCAGGAGGGGCCGAGAGAGTCCCCAGAGCCAGCTGCAGGGAGGCTCCTGCTCGAGCTAACAGCCACCTCTCCTCTGTCCTCCCCAGACACTGAAACTGAAGGGCCAGACCGAACAGCAGAGCGGATGTCGGAAAAAGCTCCGTAGTTTCCTATTTCTGGCTAGCAAGCACTATGGCAGCATCTGAATCGTCCCGCTGGATTTATAATTACTGTGCAGTTCTCTATGCAATATACCTACCTCACTTCTGTCACTTCCATTGCCTTTTCCCTCAGTATTCTTAAATCCCCTCTCCTCCCGTCTTCAGTGGTTACCGTCACAAGATGTTTGCACCAACCCAATCAATCAGTATGTCCCGGAGGAATGCTGTAACAGGGCTGTCTTACCAAGGTACAGACCTGTAACAGGGCTGTGCGGCTTCCCTATGACGTGTCCAATGCACTCATTCATCAAGGCTTGTAAACTCTAGAAACAAAAGGAAAGCGAGAAAGCAAGAGAGAGAACAGACATTCTCTTAATCACATGAGCAGCACAAATGACATTTCAGTACACTGAAAAGAAACATGCTACTTTAAATATTTTCAAAGTTAAGTTTAAATGAAAACGTGTAAACAAGCACAAGCTGTACATAATTTAAAATAACAGAGTATACAATTTAATTCTCCTAGATAAAAGCACACTCAGTCATTTCCTCGTACTGTAATGATGTGCACAATCAAAAGATTCCTTATGTAATCACCTCTAATACCAAATGGATGAACTGAATGAACCCACATTTTGAACATCTTTTGATCTTTTTCTAATGAAATTGATCACAATGGCAGTGAGTATTTTAACTCTGGGATTATACTCTCAAATGACACACACGATGAAAAGAAACAGCTAATGCTTAGTCTTCATTAAACTGCCAAAATGCACCAAGCTGGTGGCTTATAAATATAAAACTAACAAGTATTCTAGAAGTGCAGGATTTATAAACGACTTGACGCTGACTCGGTCAGCTGAATGTCACTGTTAGCAGAGCAGGGACTGAGTCTCCCAAGTACTCAGTGCTCTAGCGTTTCGGCATCACCACCACCTTATGTAAAGCGTACTCCAGAACCACCACTGAATGTGAAAAGCACACAATCAAGGAATAGACAGTGATCAACTTATTTGTTTTTCAATAAAAAAAACTTCGTAATATTCCATACCAAGAAGTCGTCTTCTGGTAGAGCTGAGATAAAAGCAGGTTCAATGGCTTGCAGAAAATCAAATCCTTGAGTGGCCCACCTGTCACAGAAAAATGTTCAATAATCATAAAACCACCATAAAAATACTTCAGTAACTTTTGTACAATACTGAAAAGTAAGAAAATTTGAGAAATCAATGTCCAGGACAACACAAATCTGTCTTTATATAAATGCTTGGGTTAAGTTTATAGTATGAGCTTTGGGAAAGGACAAAATGGCTTATTTTCTCCTCAGAAGAAAAGGGTGTCCTTTGTAAATCAGTAATTACTTACAAATTGTGTAAAACAAAGTTCCTACTTTAAACCCTCGGTGGAGTACAGCTGTGCTTTCTCTAACTTGGAAATGGCTTTATCAAGGTCCCATAATGTTCTTTGTTAGGAACTGCAGAGCACTCAGTTGTCACACAAGGATTACACAGGGGGGTGTGAACAAAGTTGGGAACAAAGTTTTAAAAAATATTTTCCAAGATTTATGGCATTTTCTATGTATACATTTTCAGTACTAAAACCTGACTGAATAATTAATAATAATGCTCCAATTTGTGTCATCTGCTCAAAAATCCCTTATCAGCCCATATGTGAACGAAGCATCACCCACACACGCTTCTGCAGGAGATGCCCTACTTGGTCAGTACCTGGGTCTTGTACCGCGGCCACTCTCACATTTAGTCAGGACGTAATTCATCCACTTCCGAGCAAAGCTTATGTATTTGTCTCCTATCTTCTGTCTAAACTCCCCAGACATCAGACGAACAACTTCTTTATGATACTGTAAGATTTCATGTATATGAAAATCAAAAGAAAATAATCATTTGTAAGTAAGACCTACACGATATAATGCTATGTCTATTTAAAATGTTTTCTAAAACTAAAAGCGGAATCCAATTAAAATTTTTACGTTCTGAATAGCATGAAAAATTACAGTGTCTTAAAATTCAGCTTCATGTTTACACATAAATTTAAATAAAATAGCTGCTTTTATAATGTTAAACATCTCTTAAAAGTTTTAGTATAGGGGCCAGCAGGTGGCATAGTGGTTATGGCAATGGACTCCCACGTGGTTCACTACAGTTCAAGTCCCAGGGCCAGCAGTTTGAAACCACAGTGGGCGTGTGTGCTTGCATGCTCTAAGTCCTCAGAGGAGAATGGAGAGGAGAGACTGTGGCATGGCCAGCCCCTCTCGGGGGTGACTGCTTTTTCTCACTTTCTGTCTGTGTTTCTGGCAAGCAAACATGCCCTATAGCAAAAATCTCTCTCTTTAAAAAAAAAAAAAATTAAATAGAAGTAGATAGCCATTAGTACAAAATTAAAACTGGGCAAAAACCTGACAGTTTACAAGTAAACTGACATTTCTGATGCTCAGCTATAATGTAAGTTGACATTCTTTACCGAGCTGTAATTACAATTAATATAAGAGATGCCATAAAAGATTCACACAACATACTTCCTAAGTTACAAAGCAATTACTAAACTGTACTCTGTGGTTTTCCTTATTGCGTACCTACCTCAAACCCAAAATTGTACCCCTGAATCATCGCTTCTCGATAGTACTGCTGCAAAGTGACGGACTCCGACTCCTCAACCTCGGCATCAAATTCTGACGTGAACATGTGGCCCACCCGGTCGATGGCATCGCTGACTCTGCTGCACAGTTCTAACGCGTCATCCTGGAGAGTGCAGACACAGTCAGTCCAAAGTGAAGTGTACTGCACGGCAGCTACTGCCTTTTGAAAGAAGATTTTGTTCATCCCAGGCAGGAGTAGTAACCAGGCAACTTTCTGCCTCATTGATTTTGGTTATCAAAAGAAATGACCAGGGACTGGCAGGTGGCGTTGTGGTTAAGGCACTGGACTCCCACATGGATGACCATGGTTCAAGTCCCAGATTTGGTGGTTTGCTTTCTTGCCCCACCCCCACCAACTCTCTCGCTCTGTGTCTTTCTGGTCGAACTGAAAACTAATAATAAATAAAGTTGAATAAATAATTCTTTTTGAAAAAAGGAATGGCCAAATTCAAAGGAAATTAATTATTTTCATTTTTTTACTTATATCAGGAATTCTCTAACATCTTACAAAATAAGAGAGGAAAACAATCTATTTAAAATGATGCTTAATCACAGTCTGATCTTGACACAGAAACTTGCGTCTTCAATGGTCTCTCTACCAGCCACTCGCTGTTTGCCCTGGCAGCTCCTCAAGCTCAAGCATGGCTCCAACCCCGCAGAGTGAGAAACCAGGCATTTACAAATGACCTCCACGCTGTGACAATGCACTGTCCTTCTTCATTCCTGGCTCGTCCACAGGCAAGATCTCTCAATGGGGGCTGAACTTCCCCCCAGCCATCATGTCTAGAGACACTGGATAGTTATTTTTGGCAATGAAGGGAGATATTTTCAGTTGTTAAAACCCAGAGGAGGCAGAACCTATTGCATCTGGCGGTAGAGGCTGCTGAACACCCTATAATGCACAGGACCACACTCTGCACCAAAGAAATACTGCCCCGAATGTCACCTGTGCAGAGTGACCTGAGAAACCTGCCTAGTTCAAACTCGCTGCCTCTCTAAGCAACACCAGGATGCCACCGCACTGGTGTCTGTTCCACCTGTCTTGAAACACGCACATGCATACACATCATGTCCATCAGGCAATCCCCTACTATTGGGTTGTCAGGAAAGTCATGCCGCGTTTTTGTATAGAGAAACATAGAAAAAATGTCATTAATTTTCCTACACCCCAATACTTATATATTTCATTCATAACAGAATGCATGCACTGGAAAGACAGAGAGGAAAGCACCACCCACAGAGCTCAGTCAGTCTGCAACCCCTTCCTCCAGCTTTCTTGGCCTGCAGTATCCTGGACACACACATGCGCACTTGTTGCATTTTCAGGCCTACCAGCCAGAAAATCAAACCCTGGCCAGTGTGTCCCTTCCACCTCTGCATCTATTAAGCTACTGACTACATCACAGAGGTTGGGTGGGCCCTGTTACAAAATATTCCACCAAAATCTTCAACAACCCCCTGAGACTTAGAAGGTAAAATCTAGCATCTCACAAGATCCTGACTTGGCCCACTCTGTCACCGGTCCTACCTCCTACTACTTCTCATCATACCTAAAGACCCAGCCAGATCAGGTATATGACATCCAGGGAGCTTGCCCACAGCCTTGCTCCATGATGGGAATGCCTGAATACTGCTGTTGTCAGCTTGTTCCCAATCTGCATCTTTTGAAATCCTCCCAAGCTAAATGCCACCATGGTGCAATCCCAGATGCTCTGAGGACGCACTCATCTCACCCTCCTCTGAACCTCAGCAGGACTGTTCCAGTCCTTAGGGCTATAAATTCCTTAACCTGGAAAATGATCAACATCTTCTATTACCTTGCCCTCTCTGGAGATTACTGACTGGAAGACAAGACTAAAGTCCCTACCCTGGTGAAAGAGTACGACTGCTACCTATGAAAGAGCAGTTAAGAGACTTAGTTAACAAACGTTTATTAAAAACGAGATACATCCGACTGACAGAAATGACTTGTAATTTCAGGGAGTGTTCTCTCTATAAGAAATCAAGACTTGGGTCAGCCGGTGGCATGGTGGTTGGGATGCATACTGCCTGACTCTGTGGGTTAAGTCCAAGACCTGGCAGCTTGAAGGAACACGCTGGGCACGTGTGTGTGCATGCCCAGAAATCTGAGAAGAGAATGGAGGAGAGGGGACTGCAGTTTGGACATCCCCCACGTGGGGCAATTTCTCACTTTTCCTCTCTCTCTGTCAAAAAACAAAACTTAATGTGACTTAATCAAAGATCTAATTGATGGCAGTGAAGAGTGGATGAGGCCAAGGCTGATCAACAGGGTACAAAACAGAAAGTGGTGAGACAGAAAGCACTGGCTTCTCATGAACCCTGAAGACCTCAGTGACTACCTACAACTGGTTTCTTTGATTATAGTTAATTTGGCTGAATTATATTAGACAAAAGGATACACACATCTTTTACATTGCTGATACAAAGTACCTATAGAAAACAGTAGTAACTGCTGAATGACAATGATTTGCACTAAGAATGAAGAGAATCAATTTCAATTTCAACTTCACTGAGAACCAGTCACGTGACCGTCATAAAGTCCTGAAACTATTGATACTCAGTTTTCTAACCTTTCCAATTAGAAAATTCCAACAGTTCTAGGAAAGATCTTGGAACTTTTTAGCTTAGACATGGAACAATGTGCACTGGGGACAGGAGAACGGGGAGGATAATATGAGTGACAGGACATTCCAGCCCCTGGCCCTCCAGGGCAACACACGCCCGGGCTACGGGGAGGTGACAGTGAGATACCTTTAGCTGTTGCAAAGCCTTGGCAATGACCGGCTGACTGGACGTCTGCTCCTGACGCAGAGTCATGAGCCCCTCGATGGACTGCTGGAAAGCTTTCCTCAGGATGGTGAGGTGGGCGGACTCCATGACAACCAGTAAAAGATTATCCACCTGGGAGGAAGGCAAACACAGGGATAAAGACAGACCCAGTTACTGTTGTCCTACTGAGCACAACCCCCAGGCCAAACACAATGGCAGCTCAGGAGTACCAGGCCAACAACCATCTGAACAGAGAGCTGTTTTCAAAGAAAACTGCTCCCCAAGAGCACCACGCTACAGCAGGCACTGCTGTCAGGATCTCCGGCACTGCGCAGAGCTGCTCCTGGAATCGTGCGGCATGACGTCTCTGAGACAGTCTAGAAGCCCTAGTACTTGGAGACTATTGGCGCAGTATGTGCATGTGCGCGTGCGTGTATGCATTTGTGTGCGTGCATGTGTGTGTGCACGCGTGAAGATGAACATGCAGGCATAAGGGTGAGGGGTACTGATTCAATCAAAACTTTGTTATCCATTACAATGATCACCCCAGAAGTACCAAAACACAAGCACACAGAATCTGTGGGTGGAGGAGAAAGCAGGCAGAGAGCTCACGTGGTCAAGCTGAGTTCAAGGGACACACTGGCACTCACTGTCATGGCCTCCAAGATGGATGCGGGTAGTGGGAGAAGACTAAGTGTTTTAACTCTGAGCTATGTAAACCATCAACGGATCTCTGTGAGGTAGGCTGGTGAGAGCCTTTACTACAAAAATGCAAACTACCTAACAGCCAGCCAGAGTGCTTAGAGAACCAGGACCTCTGGAACTGCAGATACACTAGTCAGGTCATTCCTTTCAGTTCATGGGTCTACAGACCTAATATGCCTGAGCTAGGAAAAAGTGTAAGCTAGGTGGTTTACTTCAAATAGTCCAGCGTAACATACTTAGCAGAATTTGACAGAGTACTTAATATAAATTGTGGTGTGAAATTAGTTACTAAGACTTGGAGCGCATTGTAAGAAGTACATACTTGAGATTACTGGACAGGTAACCCGATCACTCACAGCTGCTAACCACCCGTGTACCCTAAAAGCATGTGCAATAGGGAGCACTGTTGGGGAGTGGGAGCTGGCAGCGAGCCACACCTGCATGCTCCTCAGGGTATCAGCAGTCTCCACCTGAGGCACGACTTTGACAGGAGGGGCGTCCCACATGCCCCAGCTATCCTCTGGATCACGGGCTCGATCACCATGCTTGGTCAGGAGCAGGTAGGCATCAATGAATAACGCATCATCTGAATCTTTTGAACAGTCTTTTCCTGCGGCTGCATTGAGTAGCTGCAAAATAATACTCTTCTCCTCAGCAATAATGTCTGGAACAAACACTTGCAAGTTTTCTAACCCAGGAATTTGTACCTGGAAAAGAAAAATCCAAAATCTTAACTTAAGGAACACTGTACCTTATAAGAATGTTATTACAAAAAAAAATTTTTAAGAAACTCTGAAAAAAAAAAATACAAAACAAGAAAAAGACAAGCAGGTTTGAGGAAGAGGGTATGAGAAGGCCTGACTCAGAATAGGAGGGGAACTGCTAGCACTCAGACAGTGCCTTAGGGTGGGGCCGTTTGTGAACACACTCTTCAGAGAAGGAAAGCCAGCCTGAAACCACCGCAGCCAGTGCTGGGTTGCAATGCTTACAGAACGTCATCTGAATGAGTAAAAGACAAAAAAATGTCAACACAGATTGACCATGTGAGTTAGGGGCGAGGGTGGGGGGAGGCACACCAGGCCTCATACAGATCGTTTTCACAAGAGAGACACATGCCATGATGCTGTGTAGGTCGTACATCCTGCCCACGTGTGTGGATGAGATAAGACTCAGGACTTGTCAAACACCCAGTGATGACATCATACACAGATTCTGGAAGTGCTACACGTCAAACAGCCTCTAAAGTGGAGTAGCGATGGTGGCTCGAAAGTGGCCCTAATGGTGACCAGTACACTGATGTCAGAGAGCCATGTAAGGCCTTTGGGTTGCTTCAGGAAATAAGAGGGTGCGAAATGATGCTATTATTTAAAATCAACATTATCTTTTTATATATGTTAAATACATACGGTAGCTAAATTAATAAAGAGTATGAATAAACATTTGAGTATTTATTTGCATTCTTAAGACGAGTTATTAAGTATAAAGAAGTTTGTTTTTCTGGGACCAGCAGATGGTGTAATGGTTACGTCGTTGGACTCTCACGAGACAACTCTAGTTCGAGTCCTGGACCTGGTAGTTAAACTCCCACCAGTACATGTGTGCCCAAAATCCCAAGAGGAGAAGGGACTGTGGTGTGGCCATCCCCCCTGGGGAGTGAATTCTCATTTTCTGTCTCTCAGGCGAGGGCATGCATCCTACAGCTAAAATCTACCTCTAATAAAAAAAGCCTGTTTTTCTAATTATTTCACTGGGAAAATACGGGGCAGTACTAGAAGCACGGTCAGTGACTGGCCTCCAAAGCTTAAAATATTTACCATATGGACCTTGAAGAAAAAACCGGCCTGTTCTTAAATCAAATAGAAAAAGTAAAATATTCCCATGCCACCATCTTCGATATTTACCTTAACGTACTGTTTTGATTTGAGAACATCCAGGAGGTCTCTAACTGGGGCTGACAGTGTGAATTCTGCTGCAATTTCCAGGTCCTAGAATCATAGTTACAAAGAAACTTCTTTATGGTTAGCTTTCTAAAAAATAAGGTAAGAGGAAAATAAGAAAGAATAGTAATTAATGATTGCAAACTCACCTTTCTCAACATCTTAGCAAATCCAAGCGCTTTCGAGGCCCTTTCTCTGGCTTCATGAAAGAGCTCCTTCAGCGCCCGGCTGATCTCTATAACAGACCTCCTGCCAAGTGGAGTAAAGTCCAGTCAGAACACACCAGAATGTACCCCAGAGTACAAGAGGCGCTTTACAATAAAGATGAAGCAAGTTCCAAATCCAAGGAATAAATTAAAACCGTGTAAGTTTTAGCTGGGGGTAGCAATCACTGAGAACGTATTCAAAATAGTCAGAAGCTTGCTCCTCAGTGTTGTACAAACTGCTCGTGTCCTTTAAACAACCAGAGCACCATAAGAGTGTTCTCCAGTTCACCTTCACAACCTTGAACTCCCACGCTTACTTTGAACCTACCACCACAGTACTAGAAACTGCAGGATCTTAAAACCTTCACTCCTTTTCTTGGCTAGTACGTTTTCCCAGGTGAGAATCTACATGGGAATTTCTTTCTTTAACCCCCAATGTAAAACCATCCAGGTGTCCTAAAGTCCAAAATGTGTTTTTCATTTAACTTTGGATGAGGACAGAAGACATTTTAGCTCTGGAAAAGTCAATTTCATTCATTTATTAGTAATGGTTGAATCATATCATATTACTCATAATATGGCCATAAAATGGCTACATGGCTGAATATATATGCCATGAAAAATAGCAATCTCACTTGGTTCAACCTAAATACTACCTGTACAGAACTGGCGGAAACACAACAGATGAGTAAGCCATGGTTTCATAGACTTAGGCCTGAAGCAGCACAAGAACAATAAAAATTATGATCTATTAATGGACTGCCACAGAGGTTTTAAGGAACAAAAACATACTCTTTAATTAAAGACATCTCAGAGATCATTCTGTCAATTTCATCCTTTCCTCTAAAGACATTTTTTTAAGAGAGATTTTTGTTATAGGGTGTGTGCACTTGCCAGAGAGACAGAGAGAGACAGGAAGTGAGAAATTACCCCTCTTCCCGCCCAGGAGAGATGGCCACACCACAATCCCTTCTCCTCTATTCTCTTGGGATTTTGGGCACACATGACATGCACACGTGCCCAGGGTGAGTTTCAGACCACCAGGTCTGGGACTTGAACCGTGGTCGACTACGTGGGAGTCCAGTGATGTAACCATTATGCCATCTGCTGGTCCCAAAAGACATTATTTTTATTACACTAAATAAAGTCTGAGTTTATCTTCCAAGAACATGACACATAAAACCGTAACTAAGAGATGACATGAAAAGATAGACAGTAATCAAGTCCATCCCTTCAGGCCTACTGCCCAAATCCTTCCAGCCCAACACTACTGATTTGAACAAGGCTTACTCGAGGATCATTACCCACAGAGAAACTCCAAGAGGTAAGAAGTGGAAGAGGACAGAGTGCAATGCCAACCTTATCTCGTCTGAAGCACTGCTATCATCAGCACTGGTCCAAAATTCAGCACAGCTCTCCTGTAAGCCAAATTCTAAAAAACTTCCTGTAGATTTCAACAGCATT